ATGATTCTGTTGTGAATGAATTCTCCTGCTTCTGATTATGTTGTTAAACCATTAATAGTTATGCTTTGCCCTCCCATTAATATAATGGAAGCAGTTTTCACAGTACTGCAGCAGACTGTGGTCAAAACTAGGTAAACTAATGTTTTGTGGTCTATGAAGGGGAAGCTTTGCGGAAGATGCATGGTTTAAATGTGGCCACGTTTATTGCTAATATGGTGAGCGCCATTTTGCCCATGTATATGATTCATTTCCATTTTCAAATAGCAGAGAGTCTTGAACTAAATTCTGAGCTGTCAGCAAAGGCAATAATATACTGCTTAATAACAGAAATGGGAGAGAGAGAAAGTCAGATAGACAGAGATTCCTTGTGTGCAATCTAATAATGACACATTCTCTGGCAGTACAGGATATGAAATTCCTGTGAAAAACTGAAAGCTTTATGTACAAGGAAGAGATAATAATGCAAAATATGGAGCTCAATAAAATGCTTAATGCAGAAAGAATCCCTTCTTAGTAGATGATGCAAGACCTAATCTGTTTTGAAGTAGCCAAACTGAGGTGTAGAAGAATTAAGAGGTAGGAGAAACAGAGACAACACAATAAGATGGAAAACTCTACCTCTGATGCAACTGAACCCTTCTTCAAACATCCAGAGATAAAAGAGTTTTTGCAACTTTTATAAGACATTTTGTCCATTGCCCAAGCATTCTCACTGTTGTTAGAAAGGTCTTTAATTACTCATCTGAAATATAAATTGTCACAATGCAGATTGCATTTGCTTTGATGCACTAAAGGAGATCCATATAGAGAAGCAATGCTTCCATGCAGGAATACTAACCATGCCCATAGCTGACACAGAAGATATGCACCCGTATCACAAAAGCTCAGCTAAAGTTAGGTAGCATTACAACTGAAAGATGGAGGGGGGGGGAATATTTCTTAGCACATCGCTGCTTGGTCAGGGGTCCTCAAACTACGGTCCATGGGCCAGATCCAGTCCACCAGGGACCTGAACCCGGCCTGCCTGCAAGGCCTGAGGCTCGGAAGTGGCCAGGCAGGAAGAGCACTGAGGTAAAAGAATGTGCATGTAACAAAGCCCTGGTAACGCTGTTGCTACCGCCGGCGCAGGCTACTTGATAATGGCGCGCTGCCCCTTTAAGCTGCTGGAGGGTGGGACGGTGGTGAAGGAACCCCTTCCACATCAGCCCTTCCCCTCAGACCGGCTCTCTTCTCGCCGGAACAGCGCCTCGCCGACTGGTTGCCTCCTTAACACACGCACAGGTCCCATGCAGCAGCCCTGGCAACCTTAAAAGTTAGGGAAGCACCAAAAACACAGGTAACATATGCAAATAGAATTAGCAAGAAGAGAAGTCTGAATCACAACAGATTATTGTACAAGGGAATCTATGTGTAAATAGTGGTGGGTTAATTTTTAAAACAAAGCTCTCCACCCCAACTTCCCCAAGTTTGAGAATAAACTTCAATGCAGAGAAAGTCATATGCATGAGGATCAACATCAAAAATAACCCAGAAGCAATGAAGTATACAGGTGAGGTATAGGTAGTTTATATTTTTACTGATAGCACCTGTTGTGTGTCTGTTCTGGCTATTATTTTGAAACAGTGGGGGTTTTTTTGTTTCTTTTAAAAGAATACAGTACATGAAAAAGAGCATGTTTCTGGAACCTCTTTAGTCCAGCCCCCAACAGTGTCTGAGGGACAGTGAACTGGCCCCGTTTAAAAAGTTTGAGGACCCCTGGGCTATGTGATTTGTTCTTTGAACAAGCTCCTACATTATTATATAGACACATTTCCAAGTGTGACTAGGGTCAGGAAGCATTGTGCAAGCTTGCTATTGCCAGCCTACTGATGGTACAGCTCCATTCTCCTCCAGGTTGTTGTTGTTGTTGTTTTAAAAAATCCAGTCATCTCTAGAGTGGGATGACACCTTTGTGGGCTCAAATTTCAGCGTTGCCCTGTGTGACGCCAAAATTCAGCACCCCACCTCTTGCCTTCCACTAAGGCTCTGTGCCTAGTGTGATTGGCCATGTTCCCCTAAATCTGCCTCTGCTCCCTGCCTTTAAAAGGCTGCCTTTTAAAGACTGCTACAGACGCTTGCAAATCTGTGATCACTCACTCTTCTTTTGATTTGCCAAGCACAAGTGTTAAGCCTTAGTGTCTTTCGTCACAGGACTGTGAAACAGACCAGGAGAAAATAGCTGCGGCTAGGATAATGGAACAAGTTGCCACAGAGAATTTCCACAATGTCAAAACTAGCAAGGACTTTAGCATGTTTCTCTCCTGGCTCCTACCAGCAAGAGGGATGCTTTTATTAGGTTGCTCTGGGGGTATATTGATAGATGGTATGGAGCTAAGCTAGGATGCAGATGAACATGCAAACTTTTCATAAAGAGGATCAATGAACTGATATGTTTCATGTTCAGAGTTAACTACTTACCATATCTGAGACTGGGAAAGTAATCCTCTCCCAAAGCAGGTTAAAAATTGGTATTTAGAGAGGAATAGAATTGGATCTCCCTACAATACGGAGCATGATTCTTTTATTTGGCATGTATCTACTGTTCATAAAATATTTCTTACTTTTTTGCAATTTATGACATGTAGCACCTTTTTGTCTGTGTTTTGTACACACTAAATGCAGACGAGATTCTTTACAGGTGCACATTGTTTTAGGTTATAGAAGAGGATCTCTGTGGCCAAAGTGGATCCAATAAATTGAAAATATAGCTTTTAAATTTAATGTGTATTTGGCACCATGTAAGGGTAGCCAGTTGTGTAATCTCCAAACTACAGATGTGGAGTCGACACTTAGCAGTGAGTTTATAGTTGAGCTGAAATTTGAATTGGGGACATCCAGTCCCATAGCTTGTACTCTGAACCACTATGTCAGAGGTATCTTCCAGATGTTATATCCGCCCCAGCCAATATGGGCAATGATCAGAGGTGATGGAAGCTGCAGTCTGGAACATTCAGATGGTACCACATTAGCTATACCTTCGGCTATACCATTTCTTGTTTATTTTTCAAGACTGTATCATATACAGTGTCTGCCGGGAAAAGAGCTTGAGAATATCAGATTTAGCCCACAAATGGAAAAAGTAGGGCGTGCTTAAAACAAACACACACAAAAAACTTCACTAAATAGGTGAGAAGAAATTGTGTTGTTAATCCAATCCAACTAAATACTTGCTTGGGAAAGAAAGATATCTTTAGATATTTATGTTCAGACAGGAAGGAAGGAATAGATAAATTGTTTAAAATTGTGTGTCAGTCACATGGAGATCAAATAAATTTGCCATATAAAAACAGATCAAAGAAACTATTATGGTTATCTCATGTTGATCTGAGCACTTAAAAGAGAGATTCCTGCATGTGGAACTTCCACGCACTCAAGACAAATGCAAAAGCTAAATTTTGTTCAGAAGCTTCTAACTGCTTTTTAAATATTTTTGGTTTTGTGTTTCATAGCTACTTTATATAGTATGTATTTGCTTTAAACCAAATAGATTGCTCATGTTAACTATATGTTGCAACATATACCAGCTGCCCATAAGAACCCTAACGGCAGTGTCTCTTAAACAAGAACAGCTATGGCCTCTAAGAAGTTTATTGTAGCACAAGTCTTCCCGGCAACAGAACTAGACTCTCTAGTTAGAGCCTTTCAGGACAACAGTTTTATTGCGTGAGGAATGTACAGTCCTTATTCAGCTGTTGAGGGAAATCCAAATATTATTCTCCAAGTTGGTGCTTCCATTGAAGGAGAGTGAAAATCTGAAGCAGTTCTTTGGCTAATTATTTCATTGCAGCAATAATAAATTCTAATTAATTTGTTGATAGGAGACTGCAGCGTGTTCCACAATTATTATATATCCAGGTTTGTCTGTTTTCAAGTTAAGCAGAATATGTGTGTGTGTGTGTGTGTGTGTGTGTGTGTGCCTTTTTTTCTAGAAAAATAGGTGCAGGTACTCACCATTAAATTGACTACACCTTGAAAGAAAGGGTTGGAGGATTGTAAAATATAGAAAACATGCAAAATTGAGCTAAAGAGCACGTGATCGCAATAACACTTTTAAGAAATGTCACTCTATACAATACTAGGCCGTGAACCGCAACTCACAAGGAAGCCCCTGTTGGAAATTCCCATTCCACCTTTAGTTACAGACATGGAACTGTTGGTTGTCGCATGTGTTTACATTCCAACACAGTCTATTGGGAACTTCCCCTTGTGTATATCTTTTGCTTTTTCACTGTCTCTCTGACAAGGGAAACATGATGTTTTCTTTGTCCTGATTTATGCTTAATAAATCTTTAGCTGTTAGTATGCCTCACGCCTGTTCTGTTTGCGCAGTATGCTCTGCTAATATAGTGTGCTCAAGCTTTTGAAGTCTGAGTCGCTGATTTAGGTCGCACCAGAGATGGGGGGGGGGGGATTCCTCACGGCTGGAAGGGCATGATCCAGCTGGGGGCTAGCCAGCTGGCATCTTGAGCCCGGAAGGATGCCGACAGCTCCAAAGCCCATTTCCACGCTCAGGGAACCTCGCCTGAGCAGAAACTGTTTTTGAGCACGTGTGAAGGGTGCCCTTCCATCACCTTGGAGTCAATTCCCACTAACTTGGAGGATGTTCTCCCCCGCCCCCGAGGGGAACGACCTGCCCCCCCTTCCCCCACGCCTTGCATTTCAGCCATTCCCACAAGCTTCGCTCTAACGCCACCCGGGCAGAGTCCACGAAGGCCTTTGGCCACAACGCGCCCATTCGCCTCCAAGTACCCCGAGGACTCTTTGTTGCTCTGTTTGTGTTTGCGCGCGTTTTCCCCTCCCCCCTCCTCCCAGCGGAGCGGCGAAGGAGTGCGCCTCAACTCCGGGAGGTGGGCGGGGAGGGGGGGGGGTTAAGCGGCCAGACGGGCTCCGCTGGGGGACTTTCGGCTGCCGGAGGCGGGGAAGGGGCGGCTGCAGCGGACCCGGAAGTGGTTGCGCCCATCGGGGGCGGTGGGAGCGCGCCGTGCGGGTTGGTGGGTGGGGGAAGGAGAGGAAGAGGAGGGGGCGGCGGCGGCGGCGGCCGGAGGCTGGAGGGATCCGCGCGGGGACGGCGCGCGAGCCGGGAGGAGGCGCGAAGAAGGAGGCAAGGCGAGAGCAGCGCGGCTCGGGATGCATTCGGACTGCCGGCTGCTGCGCCCGAGACGCGGGGTATGGTGAGCAGCCCGGAGCGCCCGCTCCCCCGGGGGACCCGGCCGGCGCTGGCCTCCCTCCTCCTCCTCCTCCTGTTGCTGCTCAGGCGGGACGCGGCGGCGCAGAAAGGTGCGTGCGGGAGCCCCGTCGGGAGGGGAGGGACCAGAGGAGCAGCCTTCCCGCCTTTCTTGCTTGGCGCCCTCCCAGAAGCCCGCCGGGGGGGAGAGCGTCCCCCTTCCTGCCCCTCACTCTCTCAGGTGCCGTCGCGGGCATTGGGGAGGGAGGGGGCGTCTAGGTGGCCACGGGGCACCTCGCTTTTCCACGTCAGCGGGCTTCCTTCGCCGCCTCCCTGCCCCGAGGGGGCTCTGCCCCCCGACAGCGCCTCCTCAGTTACCCACGAGCTCTTGGAAGCTCCCCTCCGAAGCCCGTCGAGGAGAAAAAAGCAGGGCTGCTGCTTGACCTTTTTAACAAGTGCTTCAAGGTGCATGAGAGCGAAAGGTCCACGGGGCCCCGCAAATGGGTCTTTCGTGTTCGTGCAGCTGCTTCTCAGCGGCCTGCACTCCTGGTTTCCAACTTCGCCAAAGGGGCATGCCGCCCCACGCGTGTAACCCACGCCACGCACGACGGGTTGGGGGCAGCGATGATAAAAAAAGCTTCCCACCGACGCCACATGTGTGCGTGCAAAGTGCTTTGCATCCATATGTTGCATGGTGCTGATATCTTCGTGCTGATATCTTCACCGAAATGAAGGAGTGATGTTTGAAATGTGATGGTATCTGAAGTCTTTCCCTCGCGCTGGAACCAGCTTTCAGTTGTGTTGACTTGAGTGCTTCTCAGAGTATCCAGATAGCATTTCCATTGCTAATCTCCGTAGGCCCCATTGGGTAGGGGGCAAGCCAAATAATATATAAATTCCAAGAAGGCTCAAGACCCAGCCCTTCTCTTTTCAGAAAGTAAAAGGGGAATAGCCTGAGGAATTTTAAGGAGTGATACTTGAAATAACTCCCGTTTTCTCCAGCTTGACATTTTGAGATTATTAAGTAACATAATGAAGAATAGGCAGTGTCTAAGAATGATTTAAAGCTGGTTTTTAATGTGTAGTGTCACTTTTGTAAAGCTTTCAGTAAGAAAGGAGAGTGTAGGCATAGATTAACTAAAGATGATGAGTTTGGGATAGGAAATCCCTGAAACTTGCTCTTTAGTGATCTCTTTCAGTTGCATCTGACTGCATTTCTTGTTATTTACAGGAAACAAATGAGAAAATAGAGAATGAAAGCTGAAACCTTGTTTCAAAACTGCCATATAATGTGCTAGATGAGGCATTACATTATATGGATATTGTAGGATTGTCGTTTGAATGAGTTCTTATTTTAGAATAAAAGGATGAAAGTTGGTCAGTTCATGAAGCTTCAAGCATTGTAGACTTCAAAACTAGTTAACAGAATTGATGTTAATTCATCTCCCCAGTAGAGCTTGTGGGTTGTGGTGGTGGGAGTTCCTATTACTGTACTATTCTCCCTGAGAGAATACATTTGGAGAAAAGTACTCTACACCTTTCCCTTTCCATTCAAGTCAAAAAACTCCACAAAATGATCATGAATTCTGTTGTGGTAAACATTGGCTCTGGTGTAGCATATGACACCCAAGGACAACTCCTAGGGTAGTTCTTCCCGTAAACAAATACATACTGTCCTGTTGTGCGATTTGCACAATTTGCTTATGTGCAACGAATTAAATGTGCATACGGGTACTTACTTATTTATTTAAGGGTTTTTCCCCCTGAAATAATTTCTGATCACTTACTTTTCCAACTCCCTGAAAAAGGTAGCCATTTTGTAGAATGTTCTTGGAATATTCTCAGCCATTTTTTGTGGTTGCCACCATTCTTCTTTCTGCCTACCAGTGTCCTGGAATGATGCTAGCTTGGGGGCATTATGGGAGCTGCAAAATGGTAGTCAGGCATTTGATACAGTTGTTGATAGTGGGAGGCCCCACCTCCAAGAAACAGAAAAATATCTCTTGGGAATATTCAGAGAAAGGTAATCTTAATTTCTCCACCTCCAATTAGGATGGAGAATTTTGAGAGGCCATTTTTGCCCAGCTCTGCTTTTCAGCCAGTATTGTTTACAATGGAACTCTACAAAAGAATGCAACATATTAGGGAAATGTTCATGGCACTGTTGTGGGTCCCTGGAATAGTTCAGGTTTTTCAGGCTCTTTGTTCCAGAGGAAGTGGGAAGAAGGAGCTGCAACTGGAATCAGGGCCTGGCTGGTGGTAAGATGCCAACCTACAGAAGCAGCTTTTTCATTCACCTGTAGTGCCTTCTCATTTGTGGCAGCTGGTGACTTAGGCAGCAGTCTACCTCTACCCTACCTGGGAGTAAGCCCCATTAAATAAGACTTGCTTCTGTAAAGGCGTGATTAGGATTGTGCTCTTAATTTTGGTTCCAATCTCTTCCCCACAATCTTAAACCCAAATTGATGAAAAACTTGTCTAGTTTTCCTGAAAAGGAGTTTTTGCAGGCTGACCCTAAGCTCATTGCTTGCAAGTAGATCCCACATTTTACTAATTCCCGAGAGAAAGTGCTAGAGGAAGAGGAGATAATGGTTGTGATTTGACAAACCTAGTGTGTGTTATGCAGTATAAATCTACAAAAAGGAAAATCTACCTTCTTTCTATTCAGTGTAAGAAAATAGGCAAAGCTATCAGTCTTTCATCAGTTTGAAAGCATTCATGAACCTTCTGTGAATCTTAACTCTGTAAGGGCTTGCTGCAGATTGCCTGACAGATTTTGTGTATTCATATCCATATCTGTACTCAGCTGTCATGTGCATTCACATTTCTCATTAACAGACACTTCTAGAAAAGCTGTCTGTTAAAAGCTGGAAGCCAAACTGTTTCCTAAACTGTTATAAACAAACATTTAAAGAAAAATAATCACATTTGACAATGTGTGGCAGCTGAAAATCAGAATGTGAATGTGGATCACAATACAATTTTTATTATTATTATGAGGCATCCTTTTGGGGAGGAAGGAAAGGTTGTAAATTTGATGTAATAAATACATAAATAAAATTTCAAAGACCCGTCTTGCTTATAATTATGCAGGTTTGGGGTTGTTGTTTTACTAATGGCCTTGTGGAGTTGGACTGAAATCCACATTTGAGATGCCATTTAATATACTTACAGCTATTTCTCAGTGTACTTCATGACTTGGAAAAAGCTGGTATAATTGCAGTCAAATTCCTCTATGGATCATAGTTGGAATGTCTTCTTTTGAATAGGCATTTAGCTATTGTGAGGATCTGAGGAGTACCTAGTTGTTAAATCTAATACTGACTTGCAAGAACAAAGCAGATACAAAACACGTGGCTTTAAAAATACTTGTGACAGATACACTGTGCAAAACTATGACAATGTGTATTATAGCTTTGCATTGACAGTGTTGGTGTATGCTTTGTATGTAGCCCATAATCCAGAGAACACTCAATGAGTCTTCTTAAACTTTATTTTAGTTTTTATTTTGTAATGCAACATTTCTATCCAACAACATCATTTGGGACTTTTTTGTTTTGCTTTTAATATGCAATATGTAATGGGCTTCATACTTTAAAAAAAAATTTCAATGACTTGGTCTTGCTGCATTACACAATGACATATATTTGAATTTTGCCATGGAAGTGGATTGTGATTGGGACATATGTTCTCTTTCCCCCACTATATCCAATTAAGTTTCCGAACTATTTTATGCTTAAAACAAAAAGGAGCCCAAAAAGGATCTGTCCAAGTTGGGAGAACTGGTAATAAAATGGCAAATTACTTAAGAAGTGTAAGGAGAAGTACACTGGAACAATTTTCTTCCTAATTTCACATATAAGTGAATGGGTTGTGAAATGGTGATGACGGATTAGGAGTGAGACCTTGGGTTAGTAGTGGATAGCTCAAGTGATGATGTCTAGTCAGTGTGTGGCAGCTGTGAAAAAGGCAAATTCCAGGGAATATTAGGATGGGTTGGAAACAAAATTGCCAGTACAGTGGTACCTTGGTTCTCAAACGCCTTGGAACCTTGATTGATTGTGTGACTGCAGTACATTGTTTACTGCTTTCATTTTATGGATCAATGGTCTCGTTAGATAGTAAAATTCATGTTAAATTGCTGTTTTAGGGGTTGTTTTTAAAAGTCTGGAGCGGATTAATCCATTTTGCATTACTTTCTATGGGAAAGCGTGCCTTGGTTTTGGAACGCTTTGGTTTTGGAAAGGACTTCCAGAACGGATTAAGTTTGAGAACCAAGGTATCACTGTATCATAGTGCCATGATACGGTGTGACAGCACTTCAAATACTGTGTATGGTTTTGGTCACCTCAAAAAGGATAAAATCCATGATGGCTATGCTCTACCTCCAATAAGATGGCATGCATCGTGTTTTACCAGTTACTTGGAACTGCAAGTGGGAAGAATGCTGTTGCGTTTGGGTCCTGCTTGCAGATTTTCTATGGGCACCTGGATGCTGGACTTAGATCACCTTTTGGGCTTTTCTTATGTTCTTCTGAATGCACTCAGGTCTGCCACCTTTCCCCAATATTTCACTACAAGAGCACAGCTTTACTTGACATTTTTGGTAGGTATAAGATTTATTTTTTTAACTCCCATAAAGTTTTAATAGAGCATTTCCAGATCTAGTCTGATTCCATTTTTCAAAAACATGCTTTTTTAAAAAATGGTAATACAGGTTCAGATTTGTTTCTGTTTATAATCACTTATTTAAATATGCTGGAAGCTTCCCTGAAGCGCATTCACAGACCATCATTGGTTCAACTCTATATTAACTCCAGGAACGTTCCAGTTTTTGTTGATGCAGAAGCTTTATGGGAAACTGCAAAATCTGTGCTCCATCCTTAGATATTGGTTAGAAGATCATCTGAAAAAAAATAATAATCCACTTCGTGCATTTTTCTTCAGTCAATAGTAGTCTGGTTTGAACCCTTATGTAAGTTTGGTGAGCAGAGGATGCAAGCGTTCCACGGATCTCAAGCCAAGATCAGCCATCGTAAAACCAGATGGGTCTTGGCCATCTGTATTGCTCTTCAAAATATCCAGCAGCTATTGCTGCACTTGCATATCTTGGGGCGCCTCTTAATTCATGCCAGCTGATATGACAGATGGATACCAGATATTGTTTTAAACTTCAAACTGAACTTCTGAACTATCACCAGGGACAGGCCAAAATGCCTTTGCCAGGAAGGTGAAGCAGCTCTACATTGTGGGTTCATTCACTGGGGTGGTTTTCACCATAGTTTGCTATGTAGATCTGCCTCAGTGAACTTGAGGAATACACCAGGCTGCACTTCCCCCTTTCCCTCACCTGCCCAGTTGGGCTATGGGTTTTTGCAGTGCTTCCATTGGTGCTCAGTGGAAGAGTTTCAAAGCACTTTGCCTTAGTGTTACATGCAGGCAAAGAATCCTGGTTGAAATAAAAGGCAAATGGTTAATTGCTAAGCAAGTCAACTTCAAACCATGGATTTTACAAAGCTAGCTTGTTGAACCGTTGTCCGCACCCTACACTGGGCAGTATACCTCTGCCAGCTTGTCCCCTCCTAAATTGAAAATTTTATAGAGTATCTGTCAAGTGTCAACAATGAGATTTAAATCTTATTTTACTAAATCTTTGATGTGTCTGGTTCAATATTTAAAGGAGTACGCAAGTAATGAATGACAAGAAAAATGATTCTGGTGACTAGCTGGGAAAGCCTCTAGCTTACCCTGCCACAGAAGTAGCACATTTTTAAAAACCAGCCAGCAATAAAGCAATGAATTATTCGTGTTATTATTACCCACCTTGCACTAGCAGATCGCCAGGGGCATTATAACAATTTAAAATTGAGAAATTTAAAATAGTTAAAACAAATTGCAATCACAGGAATATGCATTTTTCAAAAGGCTGCCAGGGAGACCTAATATGGCACCAAAGCTAATATGGTGCCAATCCAGTATGGTTTTAATAAATGGTTGAAAGCAGAGTGTGTCCTAAGTTATGAGAAAAGCCTTCTGCTCCTTAGAAATTGATGGTCCTCAAGGAGGTTCAGAAACAGGAACTGATAACCTAATGTGTCGTGAACCATAGGCTAAAACACACACGCTGCATAGTAAATCTACAGCACTGTACACAGTAAATAAGCAAAACTATTCAAAATATGGCCACGTGTATTACCCTAGCAACAAAAAATATTTTGTGAAAGGGTTTCTAATGCTTTGCCACCATTGCCATGCAGCAAATAACTTTAGCCTTACAATCTTCTGGTCTGTTGTCTTCATTGGTTACAGTAAGGTAGAGAGGAAGCTTTTTCTCCCACCTGTATGTGGGAATATTGGGAAGAAATACCGTCTGCATGCTTGCTCATGGTGTGTTTCTGGTTGTTAGGATCCATATAACAGGCGCCTTGTTTTCAGGGATTGCATTGAGAGCACCTTTTCCTTATTTGGTAATGAGCACAAAGGGGATTTCAACTTTGAGTCACAGTGCAACTCAGTTCACTCTCAGTCAGCAAGGTATCCTCAATGGGAACTTAAAAGAATTTGTGTTTGCATTGCTATGTGGAAAAAACCACAAGTGAGTGTGCATGAGAACTGTGGTACTCTGCAGTTTAAAACCGGCCAATAAATAACAGAAAAAATTCATGATATTAGCAAATCTTGAATAATTTGTGGGAGAGTATTTTGCTTCTTGTTGGAGGCTTTCTAGTTAAGAGCTCGCCATCTCTATGGCTGAATGTATCTCCTAAAGACAGTGAGGTTTCTTTTCTGTAACTATGAATCAAGAGTGCAACTCACCTGGTCCAGCGTTCTGTTCTCATAGGGGCCAATCAGATGGCTGTGGAAAGCCTGCAGACAGGGCTTGATTGGAACAGGCTTGTGAGTTGCAGCTTCTGGAATACACAGACATACTGACTCTGTCAGTGGAGGTAAAACACGCCATCACAACTAGAAGGCACTATTAATCTCATCCTCTGTGAATTTGTCCGATCCTCTTATAAAGCCAGCCAAATTGGTTTTTACTACAATAGGCTGGTTGGCATTTAGAGATTTAGGATTGATGTGGAAGCATATGTCTAGCACTGCCTTATAGGGTCATATGTGAAACTTGTTCCTTAGTCTTTGCTAGCATCACGTTAAGGTTATGTTGTGTGATTAAGTGAGCAGTCATATTCACAACGGCTAATTACAGACAAGTAATCTTTTTCTATCTAGTGAGCTCTCTGGCATCAAATAAAACGTTAACTTCTCAGATCAAACTATATTGGCATGAAATGCATAAGTTACTAGGAATGCAGACCCTTTTAATGAAATAATTTGTAACAAATCATGTTTCTTTTCTTCTGCCTGTGCTGCTCCCTGCCAGCATGAACAACAAAACTATGCAGTGAAGCCATCTCAGAATAAATCAATCAATACAAGCGTTTGGTTTTTCCCAAGAACATTAAAGGGAGCCTTTTAAAGCACTGGCTAGCTTTCTTGTGAGAATACTATCAATGGTATATTATGCTCTGATACTTTATAGATTATTTAGTCATGAGAGTTTAACATTTCCATTGCCACGAAATTGACACAGGGTTTTTTAAGGGTGGCAGATTCAACACTTGCTGATTCATGACATAAACATCTTCTCAGCAAGCAGTTTAAACTGCAGAGAACTTCCTTTTGACAATTACAGTGTATGCCGTATCTTCTACTATGTGAAGTGAATAGTATTTGGGAATGGGAGGAATAGAGTATAGATACTAATTGAATATGGAACTGTAAGTTTTCCAATGCGTTTCTTCAGCCTCACATTTGATAGCACATGCAGAAGCCCAAATGTATGGAGGTTAAAACCAAAGGAACCCCATCTTTTTGGCAGGCAGTGTTCCTGAGCATGTCCCACAGGGTAATGTAAGCACTTTTCCATCCAGTCTTTCCAACTCATAACAGAGGTGTTTGGTAGCCATTCTGAAGCATTCCCCTTGCCAGGTCCTGCTTGAAACAGGTTGGTTTCAGGGGAAATGGTATAGCACTATGTGCTGGTTAAAGAAATAAAGTCAGCTGCAAAATATGCTCAGATAGCAACAAAATCCCACAAAATAGACTAGCACCTGCCCCCACCCCGCCTCCCAAAAAGAATCTGGATGCAGAAAATAAAATCCAAGGGTCATGGCTACAAAATCCTGCCTGGGTCTCTGCCAATCTAAACTCTAAAGAAGAGGAACCCCAAGCAGTACTCCATATAAAAAATCTTGTATGTGGAAAGACATTCCCTCAGCTTTGCTGAGTCCAGGCAATATAAAAGGGTCACCAACATTCATTGCGTTTTTTTAGTGGAGGACTAAAAGGAACGTGACAACCTCTTGTTTCATAAGGATGCCTTTTATAATCTCTTCCACAACCCCCCCTGCCTCCCTCTGCAGGCCCCAACCAGTCAGTTGTCTGATATGTGGTTGTTTAAATTTCCACATTAATTTTGTTGACATTCAAGAGTAAAAGAGTCTGAAAGCGACTCAGGGAAACACAGCAACTAGATTGCCTCTTATTCCCCTGGTGTGGTTACTGTCTCAACTTAAACACTAAGCAGTTTATGAAACATTTAAACAAACAAATAAAGGCAGGCTGGACCTATTTAAAACAAGCTCATCCATGATATGTCTAGCCAACTGATTACTGCTAGTTGATCTTCTTGAGTGACCATTATTAAGCCAACTCAGAAAGGTTTCACTGGGTGTTGCCGCCATCTCTGCTATAGGGATAGGCCTTCAAATGGATTCTTTGTCCTGTTCAATGGGATTCAGCATGGTTTCTCACCCACTTGTGGTTTAACTGACTTACCAACCACTTCATGGACTAGAAATCCCACCAGACAGCTGGCAGAGGGCATTTTTGCAGACCCACATATGCAGCACCAGATTCATTGTGGTGAGTCTTAGAGCCCTTAAGATACTGACAGAGCCCCCTCATTGCCACAGCAGCTGTGAAGTTACCTGAGTATTTATTAATTGCATGAGGAAGTTTATATTAAAGGGGGAGAAGGAATATTTATATTATTTAAACTTGGACTTCTGAATTGCCTTTTTTAAAAGAAGAAGAATACTTGTCCTCCTCAGGGTGCTTTTATACCCTGAGGCTAACACTAGAATACTTGCATGTGTTTACTAATTTATATTCCCTTGTGTAGAATTTACACATGAAAAATAAGAAGCCTAGAGCCAGTGCAGAAATAAGGCACTGAACTCTGAAATGCTACTGTGCAGCACAATTCTATGTATGTTTGCTCATGCATGGCAAGCTACTGTGTTCAGTGGGGCTTACTCCTGGGTGAGTTTGCACAGAGTTGCAGCTTTAACACCGGTACTGAGATGTGGGTTCGAATCCCATTCTTTATTTAAAAGTAGCATATGCATGAGAAAGCCACACTACAGGTCAATCTTTGTTTTTGTAGGTGATGGATGTGGACATACCGTTTTAGGTCCTGAAAGTGGGACCTTTACATCTATTAACTACCCGCACGCCTATCCCAACAGCACTGTGTGTGAATGGGAGATTCGAGTAAAGCCTGAGCAGAGAGTGCAGCTCAAATTTGGGGATTTCGATATTGACGATTCAGATTCTTGCCATTTTAATTACGTGAGAGTTTATAATGGAATTGGACCCACAAGGACAGAAATAGGTAAGAACTTCTTCTTGTTATGCTGTTCGAAACAGGGGGGAAATACTCCTTTATGGTTTGTTTGTTATTTAGTAAAAACATGTCTGAATTATTTGCACGATCCATTCTTCCCAAAACTCAGTGGCGTAGCATGGGTTGTCAGCACCCGGGGCAAGGCAAGTAATTTGCGCCCCCTAACCCGTGGAGAGTGAGTGAGCCAGGTAGGGGCAGAGAACTGCGAGTGCGAGCACGCCCCCCCCGATGTTGCGCCCGGTGCGGCCGGCCCCCCCTGCACCCCCCACACTACGCCACTGCCAAAACTTGAGGAGAGAAGAAATTTAATTTGATTCTAATGCTTTTTTTATGAGTCATAATCAGTATTGGACATTTTCTTACTCTGGGTTTGTTTAAATCAGAGCCATTTTACACATTATGGAGGGAAACCTGCAGAGGTGCGCTCTCAAGAGGGAGCTGCGGCCAGTCATAGGTGTACCTGGATAGTTGGGCCCTCCAGATGTTGCTGGAGTACAATTCATATCTTGCTTGGTGGGGCTGATCGAGTCCAATAATATTTGGACAACACCAGGTTTGCCAGCCCTTCTGCAAAGCATGAACGTGGCAGACTTGAGCTTGCAAACACAAGCATTATGACAGCGTGTCTCCAAACATACGTTTTACACCTACACTTTACATTTTTAGATGTATGTGTAAGATGTTTTTTGTACAACTAAAAGAGAAGTGTGTGGAGTGGCCTTTCAGGGGAGATATGCTCATCATTAATTTCTCAGGGTTAAGGTGTTCAAATGACCAGGAAAGAGGATAAAGGAACATAGGAAACAGGAAGTTGCCTTATACTGAGTCAGCTCATTGTTCCATCAAGTTCTAAATTATCACTGATTGGCAGCAGCTCTCCACAGTTTCAGATGGGAATCTTTCCAATCCCTATCTAAAAATACCAGGGATTGAACCACATACTCTACAAATGAGCTATGGTGCCCTCACGGTTATAGCTAGAACTTTCAAATAGGAGCTTGAAGGAATCTTACAAGGGCAAACATTTGTTTTCCAACTTCTTTTTTGGTCGAAAGATCCTGGTCTTCTAAATTTAAATGTGCACTGAATAGAGAAATGTCTCCTTTTTAATCGTATCTGGCATTATTTTGTTCTGCACCAAAACGCAGCTGTGTCTAAGTGGTGATAAAGTTACCTGGCTTTGGGAGAGAAAGATGGTGATGGGGATTGAGAAGCGCAGACATTATATGCAGGGCAAAGGAAGTCACTCCCAGAGCTGAATTTTTCTAAGATTTTAAAACGTATTCTTTCTCTTGTAAATTTGTCAATATGATGGTAAATCTGATATATATGAAGTGGCAGTAATATCCTGTGGTTTTTATTACTTTTGTATCTCTGACTGTGAAACGTTTAATAAACCTTTAGTCTGTGCTGGGAACGTCTTTGTATGCTGCCAAAAAAAGGGAGGGGAGAGTGGAATAAAGACTTAAAATGTCATTGATACCAACAGAGCTGACATTTTCTGGGTTGATTTTTTTATATATATATAAAAAATCAGTTGCACTGTTTTTCTTCCTTCTAAACCCATGACCTAGATACTTCTTCTGATGGTGTATTTTTAGACAGAAGATTGAATGTGGTTGCACGACATCTGTAACGTGAAGGCTTTTATCAAGCTTGGTGACTCTTCTACTTAGATATTGCATGAAAACTTAGACTTGCTGTAAGCCAAGCTCACTCGTAAAAAAGAAAAGAAAACATGAGGTCCTTAAATGGCAAGGAACGTCCAGTCCTGATTAGGGCTTAAACACTTTTACAAGTTGAGTTCACTGGCCCAAATAAATTATCTACTTTTGTTCCCTTTACCTCTCAGCTGTTCCCAGCTAGTGTGGCTGCATAAGAGATTGAGCAGTGTGTGTGTGTGTTGCTCTGCTGAGAGAGAGCTTTTTGGGAAAAAATAATGGTAAGGTTAAAACGGGCAGCCATTCCCCCCCTTGAACTTCCAGTGTAAGTTTTGCGTATTAGAAATAAGAGTCAGCGGAAGTAAGTTGACTGCAGATAATGGGCTGGCGGAGGATTAAAATATTTAAGCAAAGGTAGATGTAGCATATGTTGTGGTGTAAGAGCGTCAGCATTTGAATGAAGTATTGAAGCCAACTCTGTTGATGCTGGGAACTTTAAAAAAAAAGGAAACTCCAGAGTGGCTGGTTCTTCAGAACAGCTCCACAATCCATGCCAACCCCTTTCTCTTTCACAGATAGTTTTAACACTACAGTCCTATTAATGCTTAACAGGGAATAAGTCCCACTGAACTCAGTGGGTATTCCTTCTGAGTAACAGTGCATAGGAAAAAATGTAAAACTATTGGTGTACATGTATTTGACAAAGAAACTGGATAGTAATTATTTGGATACTTGGTAGCATTTGTAGAGATGGTGAAGTGTACTAAAATTGCTCTGCACCATTCCTTCAGTATTCCTTAATAATTGTGTCCTGGTTTCCTCTCAGAATTGGAGGTTGTAGCCAGTGCTGTGTGTGCACAAGCAGAACAGACTTGCTTGTGAAGCAGGATTTCACCTTCCTCCCCTTTGCAAGATGATAAGAAAATCTGCTCTAAAGGGCCAGGGAACCTCTTGAGAAAGGCACATAGAAGGTGGAAAGGAAGAAGTCCTACTGTACAAGTAGAATTCATTTCCTTCAGCATCAGATTCCACCCTGATAATTTGTGGTTTTGGAGATTTAGGAGATGGGTTTAGTCTCAAACAAACCCTAGCTTTGGGATTTCTTAATGCCTTGAAACTGTGGGGATGGTAAGAAATAGATTCACAAATTTGTTGAGCTGTCAAAGACGTTCTGAATGTGCAAATCCATACTAAATCGATAAATGCTTATTAACTGTCTTCCTCCCGCCCCTTGCAGGAAAATACTGTGGTTTAGGCTTACAGATGGAGAATTTAAATGAATCAAAGGGTAATGAAGTTACAGTACAATTCATGAGTGGCATACACTTCTATGGACATGGGTTTCTTGCATCCTATTCAACCACTGACAAAACAGGTATTTATATGTTTCTTACCTAGCGCTGTGTAAGCACTCCACACAACTAAGTGTGCTTTCTTACCGCATGTAATTCATTCTTACTTTTCTGTTACCCAATTACTGATAAATTATTCAAAGTGAATTAAGCATGGATGGTTACAAAACCACATCTAGACAGAGTAAGATGCATAATAACTTGGTTTATATGGTGCAGAACAATATGGGATTCGAATAAAGTTTATAAATGGCCCACTCATAAAACATCAAGGCAGTATACTGTAATGCATACAGACACAATTGAATATAAAAAACCTTAAAACAATGCAAAATACGAAAGAGCTGGGTTTTTTTGAAAGTGGACAAAGTCCCTAGGATTCCTAACAGATAGCAACTATTGCATTGCAGCTACATCAGTTTTTGCCTAGTGACCTACCCATTCTCTTCCATTTCTGCAATCCCATCTATCGCTTGTATGTGAGTATGTTCCATTGTGTTCAATGGGACTTATTTCAAGTAAAGATGCATAGGATTGATCTGTGAGACTACAGTGCTCCCTCCCCTTTGTTGCTTTGTTTGGACTGGTTTCAGTATGGGATAGATGTGGGTAATGATTATAATATGAACTGCAGTGGTGCCCCATTTGTGTATTTCCCTCCCCCCTCATAAAGACCCACCGTGCACCAGCAATGCTTGGAGGTGTCAGTGGGGCTATTCTTATTCTCTCAGGCTTTTTAAACACATTTGACTTTTTTATGAGCTACCCTGGAATTTCTGCTGAAGGGTAGTATATTCTTTCAAACTATTTAAGCATGCTTTCGTTTCACTCGATTAATTTAATGTTTGCCACATTCGCTCCAGGATTTTTCCCGAGCCTTTAAAATGAATACTTTCATAATCCGATAGATCTTATTAGGTCTCTAGCTAATTATAAATGTGCAATTCTCTACTATGCTGCTAAAGAACTATTTCATGTTGATGTATTATCAGACTGCAGCAAGTGCCTCATACTACATTGAATTGCAGATGAGTTGATTCAGGGAGATCAATTTTACTTCAAACTTTTCATCCCTTAATTATAGACATCCTGCTTTTTGAAAAACAATCTCTTCACTGTGTTTTTATTTCTAGATTTAATAACGTGTTTAGACACTGCAAGTCAGTTTTCTGAACCAGAGTTCAGGTAAGAATTGGTCTCTTTTTGATACTTTGATAATAATTTGATAATAATTCTTGATCTATAACACATCCCCAGATCAATCCAATATTCAATGAATTTAACCCCAATTGATTTCCTACCCTGATTCTTCTCCATGTCAGTTTCTCCAGTTCATTTTACTTAATTAATCCAGAGGTCTTGGGAGAAGGCAGCAATTGAAGGAGTGTTCTATACCTCACCTAGCTACTTCTGTGAGGGACGCCCTCTCCCTGCAGTCATAATCCCAAGTACCTGGTTGTCTCCAGAACAAATGCCCTGAGCCCAGGTTAGAATTGACACAGCCCATATTGGCCTGAACTCACAGAGGATGGACATTCCACACCCAGGAAGGGTGCACTTGGGCACTATGTACTGTCATCTGCAGGGGCCATTTGAAGCTCCAATACATGCAGTGGGACTTAATTTTAAAAATTTAAGTAAAAATAGATCACCACCTGTCTTCTTTGTACGTCTGGAACCAGACCTACAGAAAAGCAGACACTGGCCCAGACAGTATTATTTATTGAAATACCAGGCTGTCCATTAAGAAGGCGGACTCCTAGTCACCATAGAAATTATGGCATATGTTTTCAGTGCTTGTGATCCATTATTTTGGAGTATTAGTACATGGACTAACCCTTAAAATGTGGTAGATTGCATTAGGTCTCATAATGATCGGTTTTCAAGGTCTGAAGTGTGTCAACCTAGAAATTAATATGTATTCCCCCCCCATATAATTTGTGCTTACATACAGTTGAGTAAGTCTTTATTTCTTATACCTAAAAATGTTTGTAATCTCTCATGCCAGTAATCTAACAAGGCACGGCATCTTCAGTAGTACAATATTATGCATGGTGTAGCAATATCCCCGTCTCCTTCCCCCACAACATCCTTAAATCACTAGACTTGTGTAGATGGATCCCTAAACTTGCTCAGTTAACTTTCCTGATTAAATTTTGCAGCTTGGCAGTTTTCACATGCTGTGCAGACCTGGATGTAATTACTTTGTAAATTCCACTGAAGTAATGGGATTTATTTAGAGTTACAGGATTTAAGCATAAGGTGCACTAAGCCAATTCACAATAAGGCACTATAGAGGCATTTAAGTGTACATGCACACCCACAAGGATTTGTGCAGATTTTATGTGTTTAGTATATATATATAAAAAAAAGAATAAGAATGCATTACCCAATTTTTATAGAGCCAGATTCTTCCTTAAGTCTACTTAAAATATAAACCCCACAACACTTTTAGCTACATACTCATTTTTTGCTATGAAAGTCTTCTCTTGGGCATGTGATTTTTCTGACTCTGGCAGATATTAAGTATTTTGGCATGCTTTTGTGAAGTAGTAGTATGTTTGACATGCCAGTTCATAAGGAAGGAAGTTCACCACACAGGCTATTAAAAATTCCAGTTTTGTAATCGAAGGTAGTTTGCAGATCTTACTTTTATATTCCTGTTTCTTACAGTAAATATTGCCCAGCTGGATGTGTTCTTCCTTTTACTGATGTTTTTGGGACGGTTCCTCACGGCTACAGAGATGTAAGTAAACTTCAGAATGGTTGTTTGTACTTTTAATTGGGTATTCAACTGTGGTTTTCAGCTTATGGCTTTGTAATATGTCAGGGGTGAGCAAACTTTTTCAGCAGGGGGCCGGTCCACTGTCCCTCAGACCTTGTGGGGGGCTGGGCTATATTTTTTTTGGGGGGGGGAATGAACAAATTCCTGTGCCCCACAAATAACCCAGAGATGCATTTGAAATAAAAGCACACATCCTACTCATGTAAAAACATGCTGATTCCCAGACCGTCCGCGGGCCGGATTTAGAAGGCGATTGGGCTGGATCCGGCCCCTGGGCCTTAGTTTGCCTACCCATGTACAGTGGTACCTCAGGTTACAAACGCTTCAGGTTACATACGCTTCAGGTTACAGACTCGGCTAACCCAGAAATAGTACCTCAGGTTAAGAACTTTACTTCAGGATGAGAACAGAAATTGCGTGGCGGCGGCAGCGGGAGGCCCCATTAGCTAAAGTGGTACCTCAGGTTAAGAACAGTTTCAGGTTAAGAATGGACCTCCAAAACGAATTAAGTTCTTAACCCGAGGTACCACTGTAATATGTTAAGCACTCAAGGCACATTGCTGTAGACAGGTTTTCAGTGACAATATCTCTTAACCAAGGCTAGCTAACTTTGGACCTCCAAATGCCTCAGCTGGAATGATCAATCCTCAGGGATGGCTGGAGTTTTAGTCCAGCAACATCCGGAATGCTACAAGTTAGCCATTTCTGTTCTGGTACAGAATTATATCTGGATTGAGTGGGAGAGCTGTGTATTTTTTGCGTGCTTAGAATTTTGCAAAAGGAAAGTTTAATACGTACCAGATAGTTAGCAGTAGCTTCTTTAACCTACTGAAAACTGTTGAAGTGCTATCAGATAGTAAGTAATCTATCTTCTCTCCTAAGTCTTCCTCCATTTGCATGGCTGGGGTGCATGCAGGAGTGGTGTCCAACGTCCTAGGAGGTCAGATCAATGTCGTAATCAGCAAAGGCATTCCATACTATGAAAGTTCTCTGGCTAACAATGTCACTTCAAAAGCGTAAGTCGATATGTTTGCTTTTCATTTGCTACTTCTCTGTATTGTTAAAACATCATTGCAGGTAAACACTTAGTTCTGAAATATGAAGGCTAAGTTCAGGCAAGGATATCAGTTAAATTATTATGCTGCAGTGCTCATGTAGTGTTATTAGATAGTTTGGCCTATAAGTAATGAAACATTGCTCTTGCAAAGTTGTGAAAATATCTCTTTTTAAAGCAGTTTTCCATAACATTGTTTGTTCGTGAAATTCCTTCTCTTTCTTGCTGATTATCATGAATGCAGCTTGTTCATAGCCAACTTTTGTTGTCATTCTTTTTCTTTAACTCTTAAAATATGAGATGGGCAGTATTTAAAAAGCCTTCACACACTCCATAAAGATTTTCGAGAAATATAGATGGACCATTTTATCCACTGTCCATATTTCTTGCAAGTCATGCATTAAGATTTAGTGTGGTATATTATTATTTTTACTCAGGGTGAATACAATATTGCATGACTTCTCTTGAATATCGGCATTTTCCAAATGCCAATCTGGATGTCAAATTGTGCGATTTGGCTTTTTCTTATTTTATCTTGGAAATTTTGTGGCCGAACCATCAGTTCATTTAGCTCAATATTGGCTGGTAGACTCTCCTCAGGTTTTCGGGCAGGATTCTTCCCAACTAGAGATGACAGGGATACAAGGCAGATGCTCTATCACTGAGCTATGGCTCTTTCCCAGGGTGAAGTCTTTTAGATCAACCTTTTGCGCAGCTTTTATCCCATGTATTAGAATAGCGTGCCAAGAGTAGTGAGTTTACTGCTATAATACCCTTGAACGATGTTGTAATAGAACACACACACAGAGAGAAATTAAGGGGAAATGTTACATTTTGTTGGAACTAAAGATGTAGTTTTGTTTTGTCTTTGGTTTGTTTTTTACGCAGAGGAGCACTGTCTTCAGGTCTCTTCACTTTCAAAACTAGTGGTAAGCCTTTCTTCTCTATATTGCCCCTTTGTGTTTAATGGGATCTATACTCTTATCTAGCCTGGTATCTCTTTGATCCCTTGCCAACATAAACTCGTGGCTAAATGGAGATCTTCCAACTTTGGTCTTGAACTATCTCGCCTTCCTTCTCAGTTATTGAAGGAGATAATCGTTCCCACTCTCCTGCACCCCCTTCCTTGAAGTGATCTGTGAAGTTTTTCATTCTATTTCAGAATCAAATATTCTTATTATTAGATAAATGTTTGTATTGTGCCCTTCCGGCGCTTACCACTTAGGGCTGCTAACATTTAAAACCAACCATTTAAAAAAAATGATACTATAAAAGCAGTGGTGCTTCAGATAAAAACTGTGGTACTCCCTCCCCACTCAGATATATTTGGCATCAAGTCTTTCTAATACCAACTGAAGAAGACCCACTCTCTCACCCTGGCTTTTGGCTGAATCAATATTGTTGCCCTTTGTAAACAGCTATTTTAACTCTTGTGTTTTTGCGCTCACCTGTTTTTACCGTTTTCTTGTTTAAATTTGTTGTGTGTTACCTGCTGTACCCTGCTTTGAGATTATTTTATAATGAAAAGTAGGTCACAAATTTTATGAATATATATATCTATACAAGCATCAAGTAGAGGTTTATCTCTACGTTAGAACAAATGCATGGCAAAACTGAAAGGTTTCTGCCATAGAACTAAACACCAAAAGAGAGGTTTCAACCAAACATCCCAGAGCAAAGTGTTTTAGGTGTGGCCGGAGGGAAGATCCAAAATTGTGCTACTTTTTTTTGAATGTTGCTAAAGTCCAGGTTTTCCTTAAAGTAGAGATAAAAACCTCTTGTTGGAATGATTGTCTGCAAAGATAGGCATTTCGATGAGAGATAATCAACTTACTTGCATTTCAATACATGTTGTTTAAATGGTACAAGATTCATTTTGATCTAGGTCCTGTTCTGTCTTTAGGCCTTGGGAAGGGTTTAAGTATTTATTGTGTTATAAAAGTTGCACCATCTCTTGGACTCTTTGTATGTTTAGGTTGCTACGGGACACTGGGAATGGAGTCTGGAGTCATTGCTGATTCGCAGATTAATGCATCGTCATTTCTAGAATGGCCTGAGCAAGTGGGGCAGCCCAGCACCTGGAGGCCAGAAAGAGCCAGGTTGAAAAGGCCTGGACACTCTTGGGCAGCTTTTACCAATGATGAGTATCAGTGGTTGCAGATAGACCTAAACAAAGAGCAACGCATAACAGGTAAGCACACCTGTGTTCATTCTTCAAAGGACAAGTCCTCTCCTAGCAGTAAACACCCCAATGCCTAGAGGTGGATTTAGGGCGACACGATTTGCCTCCCCCCCCCCCCGGGTGCAGGGGTGAAGGGAGTTCCTTCCCACCTCCTTCCTTCCCAAAGCTGGGCAAGTGAGGCACTGGGCTTTGGGAAGGAGGTGTGAGGCTGTGTCTGAGTCCTAGAGGTCCCCTGCCTCCTTCTGAAAGCCTAGTTAGTGTTTTCCCAGCTTTGGGAAGGAGGTAGGAGGGCTGTAGAACTCTGCCAGAGCCTTGTGTCTCCTTCCCAAAGCCCATTACCATCCTTATTGGAGGTGTGTATGGGGGGGGGGTCATCAACATTTGGCCTCACACAGGACCATAATACCAAGGTCCACCCCTGATGCTTTGAATGAATGAATGGCATTTATTACATCGGTCCGTGGACAATAGCAGATTGAAACACAATGCCAAGCATTAAAAAGCCATAAAAGTGCAGAAGTCACAATTACAGTGAACACATGGAGCTTTATTTACAAAACAGATAGACGTTATTAGAACAACAAAAAATACTTGTGACATTTGGAAGTTATTTAAGGATATGTTTACTCTCGTGTCTTCAAATCTCCATGACAATTTACAAATACTGAATCAGATATTACGGATATTGCCTTTTCGGTGTAGAAAGAAGTGTGTGTGTGTGTTCATGTCCTCAGTCCAGTGCTATACATGAGCAATGCCCTTACATTAGTAATGGCCTCTTGTAGCAGAGATCGATGCTTGAGCCCTCTGCTAGTTTTGGCTCTGTGTTAGGCAAGGCAGGAGGAAAGCCTGCCACAAAGGTTTGTCTAGTCCAGCATCATGGTCTGCCTGGTAGCCAGCCAGATGTCCATGTGAAGCCCACAAGCAGGCCATGAAGGCAGCATCTCCCTCCGCTGTGGTTTCCCCGTGACTAGAATTCAGAAGCATGTTGCCTCTGATCCTGGGGGTGGTAGTTTCTGATAGCATCATCCTCCATGAATTTGTCTGCTTGCCTTTTAAAGCAGTCTGAAGTTGGTAGACATTGCTTCATCTTGTGGTAGCAAATTCCATAGTTTAACCATGAGCTAGCTGTGTGAAGAAATACGTCCTCCTGTCTGTCCTGAATTCCCCATTCTTCAGCTTCACTGGATGAGCCCAGGTTCTCGTATTGTGAGGGAGGGAGAAGAAGGTCCTTCTACTTTCCTGTCCCCACACATAATTTATATACCTCTGTCATGTCCCTCCTTCTTGCCTTCCAAATTAAAAATAAATAAATCCAAACCTGGCAACCTTTTCTTACAGTTGAGCATTTTGATTAATTTGTTTTTGCACTTTTCAATATCTTTTTTTTATATAAAGTATTTGAAGTGTACTTGAAGAACAGATTTGTTGAGAGGGACTACAGTATTGACAGTTTTATTTTCAGTCCCTTTCCTAACAATCCTGAACGTGAAATTTGCCCCTTTTTCACCATTGCCACCTATTTGATTCAAGTTTCCATCGGCCTATCAACCCTGACCTCAATATTCCTTTCTGGTCAGCCATTGTCAGACTGGATAGCTCAGTTGTTTAGAGTGTGGCACTGAGAATGCCAAGGTTGCAGGTTTGATCCCCGTATGGGACGGGTGCATATTCCTGCACTGCAGAGGGTTGAACTAGATGATCCTCAGGGTCCTTTCCAACTCTGCAGTTCTGTGATCCAGGGCCTGTAAAGCCAAGTGGAGTGTTTGCTATCACCAGCTTATAGCCCATCAGTGTATATGTAGAAATATTTTTTTTTGCCACAATGGGCAGAATTTTACCCTTACCCTGAACCATATTTGCTATTTCATGGCAAATTGAGCCAGTTTGGAAAGATCCTTCTTTAGAGTTCTTCGTAATTCCCTTTTCTATTTTTGCTGGGCAAGCGTCTGTGTCGATTAAATGTTTTAAAAATGCTCTTGCTATTTATTGTAAATGAGAACCTTCTTATCCACAGGTATAATAACTACTGGATCCACCTTAGCAGAGTACCATTATTATGTCTCTGCCTACAGGATTCTGTACAGGAACGATGGGCAGAAGTGGACAGTATACAAAGAACCTGGTGTTGAGAGGGATAAAGTAAGCCTGCCCAATATTCTATGTGCAAAATAAGATGAAGTTGGAGTGCATAGGAACTCTGGGTGTGTGTTTAATGATTCTGGAATCATCACTTAAGTATGAAGGTGCTTTTCCAGAGGAATTAACATTCTTCCATGGATAGAAAGCTAAATGTTGGCGCACCCTGCTTATTACAGAACTCTGAAAATGGGAACATAAGTTAAGTCTCTCATGGGTCACACGAGCCCATCCAGCATACATGGAAGAAACAGAGGCTGGAGGAAAGAAGGATTTCTCTCCTTGCATGTGTATTCCTTGGATCGAAGGAGGAGAGAATTCCAGCAGAAGCCAGGAATATATCTATGCTTACAGTGTGTGTCTGTGTGATGTGCATGCATAGAAGGAGCGTGAGGAGATGGGATCCTGGGATTTTTTTGGGGGGCGGGGGCGGGGAGAGATTTGAATCTAGGCTTTTGACACAATAAAGAATATGTATGGTGTGTATTTGTTAGATGGTAGTACATTACTAATATTGTATGCTGCGTTGAAGTGTTTCAGCGTTACATATTTATACTGCTTGACCTAATGTAGAGCAGTTTGCCCTCTTGTGCTTGGAAAAGGCAACAGGTTGTGAACTTGGATGCTGTGCAAATCTGACTCTATCACTACCAAGGTTTTGGTAGCAGGTCACATCAATGAAGGTTTGCCTTCAGTTTCCCCCAGATAAATGCTGCGTATCTATCGCCTCACGAAAATATAGGGAAGCTTTTCAAAAGAGACTCCTGTTGATTGGTATTTCCAGTAGTACAGTGGTACCTCGGGTTACATATGCTTCAGGTTACATACGCTTCACGTTACAGACTCCGCTAACCCAGAAATAGTGCTTCAGGTTAAGAACTTTGCTTCAGGATGAGAACAGAAATCGTGCTCTGGCAGCCCCATTAGCTAAAGTGGTGCTTCAGGTTAAGAACAGTTTCAGGTTAAGTATGGACCTCTGGAACGAATTAAGTACTTAAACCCGAGGTACCACTGTAAATTAGATTAGTAAATATATTAAGTGCTTAGTACACTAGGGAAATGATCAGAAACGAACTGTAATACTTGCTTTTGACTGCCCTCTTCTGGGCATACAAAATAATAATTTTGAAAAGCACATCTACCTAAACTTTTGTAGTTAACTGAGTGTAATCGACGGCAGGTTAGGTAGATGGGCTTTCTATTGGGTAGGTGAACATTTTAAACTGCAGTATGTCTGTGTGTGTACACACACACACAGACACAGTATCTGGTTGGAGCTCATTTAATGTGTCATTTAGCAGATGTATACAAGGCTTTTCAATAAAAGGTATTTAATTAAAACCCCCAGAATAAGTTATTCATTAGTTGACCTTACACTACTAGAGCCATCTGTACTTTGAGAACTCTGTGTCTGCTGCCCAGAGTAGCTTAGGCAAGCAGAAGAAAATATGAGTATTAGCTTATTTTCCTGGAGCAGTATTTTGTAATGCAGAACTCCTAATGTCTTAGAAAAATGATGTATTTTACATCAAATTTTGTTTTTCTAGGTATTTCAAGGCAACACTGGGTATTATCAAGAAGTCCGCAATAACTTCATTCCACCCATTATTGCTCGTTTCATTAGAATAAACCCTTTGAAGTGGCACCAGAAAATCGCAATGAAAGTTGAACTGCTAGGATGTCAGTTTAGTGTTGGTAAGTGGAGTGACTTTTATCATTCTTTATATTAACATGACTTGCCTTGGGAGAAGAATGTGATACCGACTGAATTTGTTTGTGCCTTCCCAGTTTGTGTTATTCCCAGTTCGTTGAATAACATCTATACTAACAAATTTGCACTGCTTGACCGTCTGGCATGCAGCAATTGTATCAACGTTTTAAGTTTTATTCCCAAAGTATGAGCACAATGCAGCTCGCAACAGTTTTCTTAGGCAGTAATCCATGCATTCATTTGCCAGCACAGCACGTCTTAGCAGCAATTTTGTATTGGCATATTAAAGATTATACAGATGCCATTGTATTTTGTAGCATGCTTCATTACATAAAGGAATCTGCTTGGTGCTTTAACGAATGGCATGACCTTTAAATTTTGGTTTTCTTTAAAGTTCGGGCTCCAAGACCTACAGTACCCCCACCACCCAGGAACAGCAATGACTTTCCCTCGCACACTGATAAAACCACCTTCACTCCGGAGATCAAGAACACTACAGTAGCTCCAAGCGTAACCAAAGGTAGTGACATCTATATAGCAAATAGCATTGCATAAGGCTAAGAGTCAATAGTAATGCTATATTGATTCCCTGCTATGTTTTTGGTATATTGCCAACTATATTGATTTATCAATAATATATATATATATTGTAGCAGAGATTCATGTAGCAGAGATAGTAGTTGACATATATGGTAAAGGGTAAAGGACCCCTGGACAGTTAAATCCAGTCAAAGGTGACTATGGGGTTGTGGCACTCATCTCGCTTTCAGGCCAAGGGAACCAGCATTTGTCCACAGACAGCTTTCCAGGTCATGTGGCCAGCATGACTAAACCACTTCTGGTGCAATGGAACATCGTGATGGAAACCAGAGTGCACGGAAATGCCGTTTACCTTCCCGCCACAGTGGTACCTATTTATCTACTTGCACTGGCGTGCTTTCGAACGGCTAGGTTGGCAGGAGCAGGGGCCGAACAACGGGAGCTCACCCCGTCACGGGGATTCAAATTGCCGACCTTCTTATCGGCAAGCCCAAGAGGCTCGGTGGTTTAGACCACAGCCAACAGGGCATGCTAAATTTGAGTAGAAAACTAGAAATGGATACCCAACTGCTAACCAGTTTATGTACAATTTAACAAACATTCTCAGCTTGAAATGTTTTGCTGGGGTGATATCAAGATGGGCCTTTGGGTCTCATTAGGCCTGACTTTGGTCTGAGAGGACATTTCTCACCAAACCGCAGCTTAGGGGCCAGCTCTCAGGGCCAGCTGATTGACACTGCCAGCAAGCTCTGCTTTGTTTGCAGGCGATTGTTTGGATTCAAACTGGCGCCTGTAAAGGGGCCTTGCTGTAAATGGGAATTGGCTGATTGGTGGTTACAATGAGGCCTTTTGAACTTTGACAGATTGGTGGCTCTAGTGACTGTCCAAGACAGCCCACAGGTGTGGTGGGTGCACAAATTCAGTTTCCCTCCCCCTCCGCTACATATTATTATGGGTGCAAAATGGTATTTTGCTGCAGTAATATTTGGATGCTATTACAAGCTTTAAATGAACTTTCTTCAGTATTTGTACAAGGAACAAAGGGGGTTTTGTTTAGTGTGCCTGCAATGCTTATGGACTCTACTTGTTTAATGGCTTTCAGATGTGGCATTGGTAGCTGTTCTGGTTCCTGTGTTGGTCATGGTCCTTACCACCCTCATTTTGATCTTAGTTTGTGCCTGGCATTGGAGAAACAGGTAAAGGAATAATTAAATGCTTTGCATCCTCTACAAGGGAGGAAATGTAATAGGTACAGGAGGGAATGGGAGAAATGAAATATGGTCAATTAAAATGCTCAATTTATGCATTAACATGAAGAATAATTTAAATTAGTGTGGATGTGTGTTCAGGAGGGCCTTGTCCTGGTCGTACAGTACTTTAACCTGAACAATCTTGAGAAGGCTGTGTAGGTTCAGCAGCTTTTATATCAACAGAACATGCAAATTTAACTAACTTCCAGTGGGACGGTTGTCTTTGCTGCTATTTCTTTGAAATAAAGTGAGAAGGAGATCAGTCTCTTAGTATTTCAGGCTCTCCACCATCACCCCCTCACCCCCAACTCCAGAAAAGACTGTACCTGTTCTTCAAAACTAGTACCCACAGTGTTGATCTCAAATGGCTGTTTCATATTGACACTAATTTTGGGTGTGTTCTGCATTTCACTCACTTTTCCAGAAAGAGAAAATCAGAAGGAACCTATGACATACCATATTGGGATCGTGCAGGTAATAACCATTGTAGCACCTCTAGCTGCATCATTAAGCATTGAGATGAACATATATTTGTGCAAATTCCATCTGTTAATGGTTGGACTTGGGCAAGCACTTGCTTGCTCAGCCCCCTCATACAAAGCCTCTCTATTGTTTGACTTGATTACCTGAGCAGCCCAAATCCTTCCTGCCTTCTCCTCTCTGTACGTTTTAAAGGGGAGGCCCTTTCTGTTCCCACCAAGGGTGGAAGCACTGTTGATGGCAACAAGAGAGGCGGCCTTCTTAACGCCTCCACCAGTTTTGGGAACAACTTCCCCCCGTGAAGCATGGCTGGCTCCATCTGTTGCTGCCTTTCACTGATCAGGAAATCAAACCCTATCTCTTAACCTGAACCTTAGCTCTAACTCAAAACCGAACCCTATTTAACTCTCTCCCTCAGATACTGGCCCTTTTAGTCTCCCTGCCAAAGTGCTGTTCCTCCCCCCTCTGTGGCCAGCTGACTCTGTAGCCCATACACGAGAGGCTCTAACATTCTGGTGGAGTTTCAGAGGAAGTGCATCACCAGACTCTAGTCTGGCTCTGCTGTCTTTGTCACAGGTGCTGAATGCCCCACCCTCTTCCTCCTGGGCTGTTTGTGTCTTAAGAGGGACCTTCACACAAACACATGAGGGGATTCCTGCATTGCAGGAGGTTGGATTAGATGACTCTTGGGGTCCCTTCCAACTCTACAATTCTGTGATTACACACCCCCACCACCATGTATGGATCTACATGTGTAATGCTCTGCCACATGAGGTGGCGCCTAGGACCTATACATGCACATATCCATTGAACATACAACCCCCAATGCATTGAAAGAACGCATAATAACATAAGAGCCCGCAGTGTCTGGCCAGTGGCCCATCTAGTGCAGAATCCTCACGTTGGCCACCCAGATGCTTGTGAGAAGCACACAAGGCAGGACAGGAGCACCACAGCCCTCTGCGCGTCTTAGCAGGTGGTCTTCTGTTTGTCTACACTATGGTTTGTTAACAAGCTGAGATCACAAACCATGATATGATTCTGGGTTGTTTGAACAACTGAACTATCCAAAGTTCCCCTGAGTTTAGACATAATGTAAACCACCCTGTGATCTTCGGTTGAAACGTGGTATAGAAATGTAATAATCATCTTTATTTAATTAAAATACACACATATATATATACACACACACACACACACACATATATATGTTTATATGTATACATATACACATAAAGATAAAGAAAAAAAAGAAAAAGAAAAAACATTCAGATTTTTTTTACATTATTATACAATCATTCATTAAATTTCTAAATAAAAGACTTCCAATTCTTCTCATTGTACTTGTATTGTTATTTACGTTTAAACGCACAGCCTTCTATTACCCTGATTTGTTTTTGTGTACTCTAGTAAATTAACATTTACACATTGTATTTTACAAGGATCAGTTTAGTTCTGCAAGGAGATTGTTATTTGAACAATATGTTTTTAGGTCATCTTTGAATATTTTCCATTCTTTGTATACTTTCTGGTTTGAAGGCCCTCTTACTTTCCCCCTCATCTCTGCCAGTTCGAGGTATTCAATTGTAAGAGTCTGCCATTCTGTTATTGTGGGCGTTGTTTCATTTTTCCAATTTCTTGCCACTAATATGGTATAGAGATGTAATAAAGAAATCTCCTATTCATTGCCACGCAGGAAGAGGAAAGGGGTAGAGGGGAAGCACGTGAGTCAAGGGCTCGCCGCTGTTTGTCTATGTAGCCCGAAATTGTGCTAAACAGGCAAATTGCTCCAGAGTAACCAGGTAACCATTACAGGCGAAGTTCCAAAGCTAAAGAAATGCATATTGATTCATAACCATGTCACTTGTAAACCTTGATATAGGTTGGTGGAAAGGCATGAAGCAGTTTCTTCCTGCCAAGTCTGTAGAACATGAGGAAACGCCTGTTCGTTACAGCAGCAGTGAAGTTAGTTGCCTTAGATCAAGAGAAGTTACAACCATGTTACAAACCCAAACTGCAGGTATTTGTCTTCTCCAGTTTTTCTTGATTTCAGTAAATGGTGCCTGTTTTAAATATTTTTGCAGATTAAATCGCAATAGTCTTACCTTCCTGTATTTCCTCCCATACCCCCTAAATTCTTTTAAAAATCTGTGCCGGGGATAGATGTCCAAATACAGCTTGTAGAAGGACTGATTCTGGAGTTAGCCAATGTGGTACAGTCCTCTCACAGAATTGTGTCACTTGAGTTTTTATGAACAATCCGCTTGAGTGTGGCTAGTTGAAAATCCCACCATGGAGAAGTTGCAAAACTAACTTCTCCTAATAATTGCTTGGTTTTTTCATGCTTTCAAGTAAAGTCCAAGTGTAACCAATAATCATTTGAACTAGCTCACATCTTTTCAAGCAGCTAGTAAAACATAATTCACAAAATATTTAACTGGACCTCTTTACTCAGAAGTACTGATTTCTATTATTGTTTCACTGAATATGCCTTAAATATGGCATATGTGATTACACTAGTAGGACTGCAAGAAGTTTTGTAAGGAGGATTATGGGAAATATTGCAGAGAAAATTTATGAATAGATTTATTTGTTAAGGATTTTTAAAAGTAATAGTAAAATTAATGAAATGCAGATTAAGTGATAAAGATCGAAAAATCTTCAGATGTCGTTGATGGAAGTCCAAAATATTGTATAAGATAAAAATATATGTTACATGATTTTTGGAAATTATAATATATATATATATATATATATATATATATATATATATATATGGCATACGCATAACAGAAGTAGATAAAGTATTGACATAATCCATTAATATGTTTGGACTGGTGTACACATGGTGGCCCCAGCCTGATCATCCCAGGAACACTTGAGACCACTGTTAGCCTGAAACCACTGCCCAAATTTCAGGTGCCATCAGAAGATCAGAGTAGCCACATAACATGACTGATAGGTAGAGGTGCTGATTCAAATGAACAGTGACCCTATGCTCTCCTGAGATCTTCCCACTGGAGCAGTCTCATGTGTGATCTGGCCCATTTCAGTTCCAAGTGCCCTTTTTTTTATTACCAGTGCAATGGCAGTATGTGACAGCTGGAAAACCCTTGACGATACTGGTCTCTCTTTGTACAGAGTATGCACAGCCACTGGTGGGAGGAATTGTTGGCACACTTCACCAGAGATCAACCTTTAAACCTGAAGAAGGAAACGAAACAAGCTATGCTGATATGGATCCTTACAATTCACCCGAGCAAGAGATTTACCATGCCTATGCTGAACCGCTACCTATCACTGGACCAGAATATGCAACACCAATTGTGATGGATATGTCAGGTCATCCCGCAGCTCCCCTGGGCATTTCTACTGTATCTACTTTCAAAGCTCCAGGAAACCAAGCTGCTCCCATAGTTGGGGCATACAGCAAACTTGTTTCCAGATCAGATAGTTCATCGCCTACTCGAGTACTCTATGACACACCCAAAGGAATGCCAGGACTCAATCCCACAGATGAGTTGGTATACCAGGTACCACAGAACATGCCACATTCCACAGAGAATAAAGAAGATGTTAGCTAGAGAATGTGGCTTTCAAAAATTAAATCCTTTGGAGATCACTTTTTGCATTGGAAGAAAAATGTGTGACTTGGTGGGAGCCCAGAAAAAATGAGTCAATTACCTTTTTGAGGGTCTGTACACAACTACTGCTTTCCTGTTTATAGAATGATGGGCTTTCCATTCACTACTGATGGGCACTACATTTTTTTGCTAGGCAGGTGTGAGAAGCTTTCAGAGATGCTGAATTGCTAAGTGTAAATACATGTTCCACAACAGATATATAATGTGCCACTATAGATATATAATTAATCAAAATGATCTATGGTCCATGAGCCAAGAAAAGGAAAGGTACTATTCTGGATATAGAAAAAGTCACTGAGTCCAACATACCAATTTCAAATTAATTGCTATCTAGCAAGCTGGTATTTTCATAAGGCTTCACATTGTAAAAGTAAACTGATTATTGTGCTTCCTGTAACAGGAAGTTAGTGGCAATTATAAGGAAAACTGATCCCTAAAATTAACAAGTTTCCTTTGTTGATTTCTTTGATGAAATCAATTCGTAGTGTAGAAAATACCTGGAATCTCTGGCAAGCATGACTTGCTATACACTAGTAATCACTCTCTGTTGATCCCTTTGGAGTAGTTTTGTATGAATCCTGTTCTCCCTACTATTTGGGTGCTCCTTGCCACTTCCTAGGGGGGTGAATTCCCTGAAGATGATACATTTTCTAAAATTTGTTACAAATTTACTAAAATTTGTAAAAGGGACCTTACTGAGAATCCTTGGCTCAACTAAAACTATAATTTCTTTAAAAAAATAACCCCAAAGCCCTCCAATGATGGCCTCAAACAGCAAAAAAAATAAAAATATATTTTATTTAGATTAAAGGAAGGGATATTTTTAAGGAGGGAAGGATAAGTTCACTTCTATAAAACATAAGCACACTGGCATCATTGCATGTAGGTTTTTAACGTAAATCAGGGTGTCTTTACATGCATAGATGAAAAGCTTGGTTTTCCCAATATGATTTTAGGTATATGCCTTAAGAAAATGCATATATGCATTGGTGTCATGGAGCCTTCTGAATGTGAGATGGCGATTAGATTGAAATATAGCAATGTTTAAAATACTGGCATTTGATCTACTATGTATTGCATAAAAATTATTTTTTTCACCCCTAGATTCTTCAAGTTCAAAATTATCATACCATTTCATTCGGGACTAAAGGTATTTCCCCTTCTAACTCCTCGTGAAATTATTTTTCCAAGGTTTATATACTTGAAACCAGTTAGTAACTTTTGTGCACAATGAGAATTGCTGAAAGCATAGCTGTATAACCTACAAGCCAGTCTCCCTTTGGCCATGCTTTAAATGTGTATATATTTTTTACAAAGCACATTAGGGTGACATGAAAAGAACGCTTTGTTTTTATTGTATTATAACAGCACTGTAGCGACGATGTAGAACAGATAAATGTGATATCCCCTCTATACGCAATAGCCCAGTTTTATGGACTTCATTATGAACATATAGTTCAAGAGAATATTGGGTGTTATCCCGTTGTGTTCGTCTGCTAGCAGCAGATTGTTCACTTGCCGAATGAGACTTTCTCCCTTCCTCTCCTCCTCTGCACAGACACCAAATCTTCTTCAGAGAGAGAGAAGCTGGCAGGGGGTTAAAGGGTAAGGAAGCCAAAATCCACTTGAACTGTATTGGATACTGCCCATTTCTATTTTTCTTGTGGTCTGTATTGTTGAATGCACAATATATCTCAGTGTAGCTGGCTGGAAAGGTAAATCATGACAATCACAACTCTTAAATGTAGTTAGTACTCCTTAGCCCAGCTTTCTCTAGCCTGGGGCCCCTTCGGATGTTGAGGACCACGCTATAGCTGGGACTGAAGCCCATAACAGCTCGAGAGCAGCAGCCTTAGTCCAATACTTAGTTTCAGCAGTATGGCATGCTGGTTCGCTCTTGTGCTTTGTTCCATTTATATTTTGTTTATTTATAAAAGTGATAACATAACTTATTTTTATTCTGTAAACTACGGTACACCGAGGCTAAATGTGTGGCCTAAGAAAACTTTCAGAATATGTGTATATGTAGACTCTATTCTATGGCCTAGTCTATAATTTCTTGCTTCGTTTGGTCCAATGGATATGGGTACATATCTGCCAGGTTGGATTCAACAAAATATGTGTTAAATATATGACACCCTAATCGTGTCATTGTCTATCTCTGTTAGGGTCTCTAGACTCAGCTGTCCTACTCTTACATATCTGCATCTTTGAAAACCATACTGTAGAAATAGCACATTTGCAACAGAGTGATTTCCACCTCCTGCCATTGCCAAAAGGTGATTCATTGCTGGAAGTAAAATTCAAGGGATTAACTCTTTTAAGTTCAGATGGTAGCACTCGTGCACCTTGCCAGTCAAAACATAGTTCCTTAGCTTGGTTATAAATCACTTCTTAGTTACAAATTGGAATCAGAACCCTAAATTCTTCAAAAACCTGAGATTGCAGTTGGATTCAGTGGCGCACATCAAGCAAACAACTACTTGTAAACAGAATTAAAAACTATTACCTTTATTTATTGACAGTATTTATAAATCACTCTTCTGCATATGTTACAAGGCAGTGCACCAAATGCTTCATTACAAATAGCAAAGTAAACTATGTCAAACTCTAAAATTAATGGCAGAAAAGCAACAGGAAAATAATCCTGGCTGATTTCCAAATGCCCAGTAGAATAGAACACAACCTAGGTTTCCTAGATACTAAAAATTCTTCTTAGAAACGTATTTTCTGCTCAGATTCTAAACAGATGGTAGCTATCTTTAAATGAAAACTAGGCAGCAATCCTGTACCCACTTCCCTAGCTGTAAGCCCAGTGAACTGAATGGGGCTTATTTCTGATTAAACATGTTATAGGGGTTGCGCTCTGAGTGTTTTAACTTGAATGTTGCACCAGTTAGAGTGGCTTGGTGTATTTGTACCACGCCAAAGTATAGAATTGTGTATGTGTGATGTTTCTTACAAAAATTGACAAATGTACATACAAGAGACTACCAAAAGCCACGGTAGGGCTGTTTTTCAAAGCTGCCTGTTACTGGAATTGTGCACAAAAGTGTATATGCTTAGTTTGAAGTCTTGCAGGTATCCAAACCCACAAACCTTAGTACAAGCAAGTCCACCTCCACTGTATGTTGCAGATTTAAGCTTGCCAGCACATAAAATATTACAACAGTATAAAAGGGATGGTGTGAGCAATTGAATGTATCAAAATTAAATGGCTGATTAGATGAAAACAGCTTTCTTGATTTACTGCCCTGTATTTTAGGTACTAACTTATTGATTCCTGAATGTAAGACACACAGCACAGGCAAGTATCCACACAAGTGTTTTGGGGTTTAGGCTCACTGTTGGTATTGTCTCAAGGTATGCAGAGGGGTCACTCGGCTAGTGCAGGTGAGATGGGTGCAAATAAGTGTCGACTGGCTGTTTTCCTAGAATGTACTTCCTTACCTCAGCATGTTCTGTAGTCACTCTGTGTATGTTGCTAGAATTTAGATAATATGAATAGCATTTTTTTAATGTATGTGTTAAAACCTTTTAATAAAATGCACAATGTGGAACTCATGATTCTTGTACAGGAAAAAAAAGTAAGCAGATTCCATTTTGGAGCTTAATGTCGCTGAATAGCCCAGCTGATGGAGAGTCAGTTACAGCTACATTTTGACAAGCACTTTCTGTTTGGCAGATTCTGATTTTATCTTGGGGGTACTGTTTGTGGACATGAGAACCTCAGTGGCAATATGCAGGTAAGACACAACGCAACAGACTTACATATTGTTCAGATGATTCGGAGCAGCCCGATCCTATTGCTTACTTGTGCAAACAGGCTTGTTCTGTTCTACCCCATCTGCCTTGATAGCACACCGTTAAAAGAGCACTGATAATTTTTGAAAGGAGTTATCTTAGTGAACCATCCCCCCCCCCCCGATTAATACTGGAACAATGGAACCAGACAGATGAGTTCTGTTAAGGACATCTTCACAGAACGCCTAATTTACATAATTCACTGCCATAAAATACAGTGGTACCTCGGGTTACAGACTCTGCTAACCCGGAAGTAGTACCTTGGGTTAAGAACTTAGCTTCAGGACAAGAACAGAAATTGTGCGCCGGCGGCAGCAGGAGGCCCCATTAGCTAAAGTGGTACCTCAGGTTAAGAATGGTTTCAGGTTAAGAATGGACCTCCGGAACGAATTAAGTTTGTAGCCAGAGGTACCACTGTATGCTGATAGCCACATGCTTAGATAAATCTACTGAGATTAGGTCTATATAGTGATGGTCACCTAAACAGAAGCCCCAGATTCAGAGGCAGTATTCCTCTAAATACCTGTTGCTAGTTAGGCAAATCATCTTCTTTGGCGATCACTTGTAGCCGAGTAAGATTGTCTTCCATGAACATGGTCTTAACAATGAGTCCGTAAGTGACTGTGGAGGCTAATTCTGGACCCACACATCCTTCCACAGTGGGGACATTGGTTTCTGGGCAGGAGTTGATCACAAATAGCATAGTGTGGGGCTTCTGGGAAGCATTTGGCTGGCTACTGGGCGACAGGTTGCTGGGGCAGAATGGATCCAGCAGCTCTGCTCTGACACTCTTAACCACTGTGTTGAGAATTATATAGCACAAGACTAAGAATGCACAGCGCATGTGGAGCTAAAGCCCCACAACTTTGCACCAAGAAAACCCAGTATGTCTCCTTCCTTCCTTGTCATTAATACTTCCTTGTCATTAAAATCCACAGAGCATTTCTTACAAGAGGGATTTAACTGCAACTTTTTTGCTTTAATTCTAACTTGATATTGCCTGGCGCTTTTTAAAATTCCCCCCTGGTGGCAGCTGGCTGTGGTGCCATTTATTGCTTTATCTCCTGAAGTGTATAAATGCCACTGCATGCTGCGAAATAAATCACTCTTTAATCTCTCAGAGGCCAGTATTTGGGAAAGCTGTATATAATTTCGGTACAGAGCTTTTCAATACGAAAGATGAACTAATGGAAATAGACATTTTAATAAGCAGATTCATGTGTAACACTACTTACACTGACAGCTTCTTCCTTTTTAAACTCTACATTTCTTGCAATGTGCTGTTCTGCCTATGACACTTTCGGGAACAGAGTCACTGCCGCAGAGGATGTGCAAGAGGCCAGGGATCCACATGGCTGTTACCTGAGAACTTGCGTGAACTTTTAACCTAGCTGTAAACATTCATCAGACCAAATGTACTGGCGTAGTTCCTAGCCAAGCATTCATTATACTAAGTACTAGATGAATTCAGACAGGAACTCAGCCCATTGCTGCATGAGCCGAGACTTCACAGACTCCTTCCTTCAAATATTACTGTTTCTAAATTTCCGCCTGTGTTCTGCGTAAACCATGGTTTGCCACTGCATCCGTGCGCCACCTGCAGAGTGATTTTAGCAAACCATTTGCCTTTAAACAAGGTTCCAAAATCCAAAACTGTCTTTTGGAGTCCTGGTTTAAGGGCAGATGATGGTGTGCTGAGAATCAGGAAGGAAATTTAGGTATTTCTCATTTCTGGTCTCTGGCTTGGCAGGGCACTTGTACTATTAACTTTTTATCAAGTAAAGGGAATCGTCCTATAGTCCCTTGTTGGGGTTTTTCCTGGATTTCAAGTGAGCTACTGTAATGATACAACTTGCCAGCAGAGTCACTGCACCAGTAACTGTGTACGCTATTCCCAGAAAAGGATTTCTTCCACCGCTCCATGTTACTGTTGAGAAGACCACCTGCTTTTCTCCTTTGAACTTTGAAACTGGGAAATCTGACAGGATGATGTTAAAGTTTTATTAACAGTTTGGAACATACATGGGCATTAAAAGATGCCGAAGGGTTAGGTATTGCTAACAGGATTAGATCCATGTTTTTTTTCCTTCTTAGCACCTACAGTGCAAAAGGCATATTTAAAAGGAATATATGTAGTTTTTCACAGTTTACTCTCCTTGTTGCAATACGCATCTTCTATTGATGAGACACTACCACTATTATCAGCCTTTTCTAATGTGGTCTACAGAAGTTTTGAACTGAAACTCCCATCTGCTCTAGTCGCCATGGCCAATGGTCAGGTATAGTGAGACCTACAGTCTAAAACAGGGACGCAGGTGGCGCTGTGGGTTAAACCACAGAGCCTAGGACTTGCCGATCAGAAGGTCGGCGGTTTGAATCCCCACGACGGGGTGAGCTCCCGTTGCTCGGTCCCTGCTCCTGCCAACCTAGCAGTTCGAAAGCACCTCAAAGTGCAAGTAGATAAATAGGTACCGCTCCGGCGGGAAGGTAAACAGCGTTTCTGTGTGCTGCTCTGGTTCACCAGAAGCAGCTTAGTCATGCTGGCCACATGATCCGGAAGCTGTATGCCGGCTCCCTCGGCCACTAAAGCGAGATGAGCGCCACAACCCCAGAGTTGGTCACAACTGGACCTAATGATCAGGGGTCCCTTTACCTTTACAGTCTAAAACATCTGTAGAGTACCAGGTTGGGGAAGACTGAGCTAGACAGAGATCTGCATCAGCCCACTGTATGTTTCCTCCACCCAAGTGACAAGCAGAAGCTCTCCTCAAAACTCAGCTATATTTTGCAATGAACTGCATGCATTATTAGCCTGCCAGGTAGCGTTCTGGCTATGTATTCCTTGATTACCCTCACCGTCTACAGAAAATCTGGCAATTATAACCCACATAGCTAAAACGTGTGGAGTTTAAAACATGACACAAACCCACACAGAAAGGATACTATAGGATATTTGTAGCCCGTACGTCCCTGCTGGGAGCCCATTTGCAAACTGCCTGATGCGATTGAGGCGACGGTAAAGATTCTTGAATGTAGGAAATGCTGATACACGCATCCAGATGATAAAGTCTTCATTTGTGTAGCCATTGTTCTCTTGGTTTGCTTCATCTAATAAATATACTGGTTTTTGCCAGTAAGGTGGTCTTGCCGTGCCTGAGATAGATGGGGGCGGGGGGAGGGAGAGTGAGAGAGAGAGAGAGAAAAAATGAATAGCTATAGGTGAACCAGCTACCCCTACTTCTATATATTCCTTATAGTCTAACCTTAGTCTCACTAGTGGGTAAGCATGCCTCAGCCTTCGCAGATATGGTGCTCTCAAGATGTTTTGGACAATTGTTCTCTTCATTCCTGACCACTGGCCATGCTGGCTGTGGCAGACGGGACCTAGAGTCCAACAACACCTGGAACATCCAAGGTTCAGGAAGTCTGACCTAAGTAGTCTAAACAAAGGGTCTTACTCCCTAGTGAGTATTGAGTTATATGCAGCCATCACAGACACACTTATGAAGGAGTATGTTCCACTGTTCAGTGGGGCATGCAGGATTGCCTTGTAAGTCAAGCAACGTACCAGGAATGTAGCTTCAATAAAGTTGCTTTTCCAGTATGCATATAAGGTGGAGCAGATTTGCATCCATTGGCCCTGCTCCTGACCTCAGTTGAAGCGGGAAATTTAAGCGTGGTTAACATCAATATTGAGGCATCTTTTTAACCATGTTTAAAGCGAAGGTGCACTGCAAATGGGCACACGTTCTGGGAAGGAAAGGGCACATCATTTTGTGGTGGTGTCCCAGGTGCTCGGCCCTGGTGGAAAAAATCTGATGCATTGGCCTTGAGAAAAGGTAGACGTGTTGGGTTACATTACATCAGGGATGGGGAAACCTTCCAAGGGCCACTTTCCCTCCGGGGCAACCTTCCAGGGGCCACATGCCAGTAGTGGGTGAGGCCACAGGCAAACAGGCAGAGCAACAAGTGAATGATTCACATTTCTACAGCAGGTTAGTTTCTTCTGTCCTCCATCCAGACAAGCAAGAGGCATTTAAAAGGTAAAGGTACCCCTGCCTGTACGGGCCAGTCGTGTCCGACTCTAGGGTTATGCACTCATCTCACTCTAGAGGCCCGGAGCCAGCGCTGTCCGCAGACACTTCTGGGTCACGTGGCCAGCGTGACGAAGCTGCTCTGGCGAACTGGCACCAGAGCAGCACACGGAAACGCCGTTTATCTTCCCGCTATAAAGCGGTACCTATTTATCTACTTGCACTTAAGGGTGCTTTTGAACTGCTAGGTGGGCAGGAGCTGGGACCGAACGACGGGAGCTCACCCCGCTGCGGGGATTCGAACCACCGACCATGCTATCGGCAAGTCCTAGGCGCTGAGGTTTTACCCACAGCGCCACCCACGTCCCCTAAGAGGCATTTACTTGTTTGTTTAATTTAATAAAAATTATATAACCCTTGATTGTGGGGGGGAAACCTCAAAGCAATGGATGAAACTTCAAAAGCATGATCAAAGTTCATAGGCACATTCCAGCCAGGTAAAAACACTTAGGTCTGAAGCAGAGCTAGTGAAAAATGTAGTCAGGAAAGATTTCCAAGGGCCACATAAGAGGCCTGCGGGGACAGTTTTAGAAAGCCCATTAGCTGCATTTCAAAAACTGAAGAACCACCTTTCAGCTAATGGGATCATTCTTACCATCAAATGCAGAAGACAAGTTGTGCGCAGATGGATTGTGAAATTTCACATTTTTATCTGTCCACCAGGCATTCCCTTGCTTCAGAAGTGGGACTTTGACAGCCTTTACAGAAGCAGGATAGTAGAACAGCTGTATTGTATCTGTATGGAAATTAGAAACAGTGATTTAATGCTAAGTCAGTACTGAATGCCTTTAATTCGACTATTTTAGCTGATCTAAGAGAATATGGTCACATCCACACCATACATTTAAAGCACGACATTAAAAAACCTCCAATGGGGACTGTGTGATGACATCCTTACATTTCTATCATATAGAGAGAAATCTGCAGTTCAAATAGATAATGAAGATTGCGTATTCAGGTAAATATTATCAGATGCACGTAGCACTCACCATTGAACATGCTGTTTGCAATTGCACCACATGGAGCTATAGGTGTCCCATTTTCATAAGTTGCAAAAGGTGCACAATTGCTGTTCTGAATCTGTATTCAAAACCATAATGCAATTAGGAGCACATTTCTCTGAAAAATCAAGCCATAATGTTAAACAATGCAGCTATTCATAAACGGCAGGAAATGTGTTCTGAAAAAGACACGTCTTTTATCTGGTGATGAAAAATCAATGGGGAAAGACTGTCACACTATGCCAGGGAGTGTATTTCCTAGTGTGGCTGCTACCAGTTGGCAAAGGACTCTCCCTCTCGAATGTTTACATTGCCCACCTCACTCAGCATAACATAACAAAGTCCAGACAATGAATGACAAGCACAACATTCCTGAACCAGCTAGACTTCTTTCTGGTCAATAATATATTAAGAATTACTACCTTTAAAATGGCATCATGTGATTAAAAAAACCAAACATCAGAAGTACTAAAAGAATTTCAAACCACCTTACGTTTGCCTTCCGACCCAATAGTTGTGCATCACTTCTGGAAAGGACATAGCGACGATGGTTCTGATAAAAATTATGCAATCCGTAGTACATGAAGACATCACCCTGCAATTTTTTTTTAAAGGGATAACATGTAGGAATTAAAAAATGAGTTTCAAAGCTAAATCTGGCAAACTATTGACAATAGCCAATATGAAGGGGGACAGTAATTTGAATGTCCAAGATCTAAGTGCCATCAAAAGCCCTAGAGACCTTTGATGGGCAAGAATTGGTGTGACTCCAAACCACTAAGCCCAAGAGACAAGCCTAAATTGTTACTTTATTGGTTTGTGGAGTAAGGCTAGCAATAAATGAAAATGATCTCTTCCGATTACTCCACAAGGTCTTCCTCTAATGTTCATTGCTTGATGCGCTCGTGAAATCAGTCAAAACAGCATAGACAGGCTGCTCTGATTGCCTGACATTTTTTCCACAGAGGCAGTTCACATCCTCAGCTGCTGAATTCAGCATTGATTGAATAAACTGAAGGATAAGCTCCTGAGAGATGGGCAGGGATATGGGAATCAATCCCTAAGGTAGGGTGCCAGATGCAAAAGAAGACGGGGCTCCTGCACCTGTATCAGAAAAGGAAAATTTGACAGGTGTGGCCTGCATGACAAATGTCCTCTTTTTGTATCTGGTCACGCTACGCTAATGGTTGTAGCCCTAGTCATTGAATGACAAGAGCTAACACACTAAAATTGCTTAAAATTGGATAGATGCTAAAAGTACCATAGGGTGCAACCAGGCCAATAATTGAAGCACTGAGGTTCCATTGATTTTACAGTGAGAATTATGCATGTGCTTAACACACTCTCATTGAAATTACTGTATAAAAGTGTTTAACTCAGCTAAACGCTCAAAAATGTTTTAAACATTTCAAAACGTTTACTTCAAAATCATTCTGGTTTCCTTAGGATCAATGTATTTTTCTTTATTCAATAGCCTTAAAATATTTGAGGTTTGGTAGGTAACATTTTCCTTTCCTCCTGTAGTTAATTTTAATTCTGCTCTTGTGTTGCTTATTAAAAAAAACCCAACCTATTATTCCCTTTTCCACAATCACTTACCTGCATGCTTTCCTGAAGTGTGAAGTTGGTGAAACATAGGCATTCCTTCTCCCAGTTTGATGAGTTTTCACGCAGCTTTGAACAATGTGAGCATATATCGGAATAATTAATCTGCCAAGAAACGAAAGAAACAGGCCAAGTTATTGTTTTTAATTACATCTATTCTACAAGAGAAGCTTGCCACTTATTGTGGTTAATAGTACTTCTGACTCGTTCTTCACCAGAACATCTCAGAGTAGTTTACAGCATTTAAAAACACAACAGTTAACAAACAAACAAACAAACAAACAAACAAACAAACACAACCCTTAAAGGAGTAAAAAACACCCCTGTGGAGAACAGGCCTGGAAGCTTGTCTAACGGCACCCCAGTATTGTATTTGAAATATTTATAACTCACCTTTCCACCAATGGTCTCAAAGGCAGCTGGCCTACAGATACAATTTAAACAAGACCATTGCCAGGTCCATCTGTAGTCTCTTCAGCATCTTCAGAATGCTTAACTGTTAAATAGTCTGGAGGGTCTACCCTTCCCAACTTCTCTAGACAATGGTAGACCTGTTGGTCCAAAAGCCAGTTCAGATATTCTATCCATTCATTTACTGAAGCTGCTCACACCAGTGTAATGCTTTTAAGTCTGGCCTCAGATCACTACCTCACTCCCTCGATGTTACAATGCTCACCAGTATAGACTACTTACATTATTGATTCCTTTGCGAAAGAAATAAAGAACATAATAGCTAAAGTGGGTATTGAAGTCAGGTCTCTGGGAGCCAAGGTCAGTACTTTCACTTTTGGGATTGCACCAAAATGTTTATTTTATGGCTTTAGGATTAATGAGGACATCATATACAAATGTTATGAAAATGAAACAAAACAAAATAAATACATTGTAAATTTCTATTTTACAGTCTACCAATATTGTAATGCATGCTTTCCAGCACACAATGAAAACAAACCTTTATTTCTTTGACTCTTGTCGCAGCCAATAGAAGTACAATTCCCATCACAAGGCAGAAGAGGCTAATGATAAAGAAACTGGGGAGGACGAGCTCTGGGGTGAGCTGGGGCTTCCAGGCTGGGAGCCTCTGTTGTTTATATGCAGTATTATCAGGGCATCTCGATGGACGGTTTGGTGAAACGCTGCTCTTTTCATTCATGTTGATGCCGGACAAGTCTTTGGCTGGCCTTTGTGTCGTACCGTAAGGTATTTTTCATCTGTTGCTATCTACTTAGCATTTTTAAGAACCTTGGTAACTTCCTGGAATTACTTATTAACTTGATCCATTTGATTGGGAATAACACCCTCCTTGTACTTTATTGTCATAATCACCTTTAGCCAGCCTGTGCCATCCTCCTGCTGTGTACTTTAACCTGACACATCTGCTAGGTTCCTGCACCTGCCACTGCTTCCTGCACAAGGCTGCCACCCTTTTAGCTGTTACTGTTGTTCCACACAGCTTAGGACACAATTTAGTAGGATCATCTGCATTGGTCTATTTGGAAATCCTGCACGCGGGGTGGTACATTACTCCTCAGATTTTCTGTCTGTCAAATTTATTAGCTGACTTGATTGTGTTTTTGTGACGACCAATGATTTTCAGCATATAAATTTTACCGACTGACACAACTTAAGGCTTCCCTTCCTCCCCGCCTTCACAGATTCCAAAGCTGCATTGAAACTGAGGTAAAAGGGCAGATTTTGCTAATAACAAGTAGGGTGAGAATGGAGTGATAGACAATGGTTACACCAGTTCTGCATTTTTTTCTGGGGTCAATTAAGCATCCTACTCACAAGTAGCATCCATTTTGCTTCAAGTTTCCTGGTCTACATATCTGCCACAAGAACGAGAGTTTGCTACCTGAGGCTTTGAATTCACAGTGGCAGATTCCAGGTTACAACGATCTATGGTAATGATATTAGTAACACAGGGGAGTTCCCCTAAAGAAAAACAAGAGGGGTAGTTATCCCTATACATTGACAATTATGATCACTGGCACTGATCTTTAAGGATATTTTGGAAATACTTTAGCCATGGTTATGCCACAGTAAGATGATCTATTGGTGGTTACTTCCTTCCAGAAAACTGAACTGTATTGATAAGCAGAGCTGCAGATGAAAAGCTCAGGAGACATTACAATCATTATTAACAGTTATAATTTATATATTTCCTCAGGTGTTTTGTACACATGTATCATGTTAATCATTGCAACTGCTCTTTAAAGTAAGCTGGCACTATTATTTCTAAACTGCAGCCTATTAAGCTGAGATATGTACACCCAAACTGACCTGGAGGCTCATTCAAGGATTCCTAGTGATCTTGTTGCTGAAATGAGTTTACCCGTGACACAGTCTCTTACCCACTAGCTTATACTTTTGAGTAAATCTTTTGAGTTAATAGTTACTTTATGTGCTGGTGGAAAAATCTGTGTTGACTTTCGATTTCATATCATTATACGTGAACATTTCAGGAGAGGACTCCATACAAAAGCTGGCTTTATTGCAAAAGAATTAAGGGTGACAAAAGGGTTTCTACTATATGCATTTCAGAATTAAAAAGCAGCCTCAACTTGGGCAGACTGAAGGATGAGTTGAATTCAAGGGCAAACATTATATCTAAAAGAGTCCCACTTTCACAGAGCCCTCTCTGCACAGTTTGATCAGTCCCATTTCCAGAAGTTCAATGCTTTCTTTCCTTATCTGAAGAAAAAATAAAAAAATTAGAGGATTAAGGTTACCAAGGCCAGCACTTCCATGAGCCGAGGTGAAGAACTTTGCCTCAGGAGGCAAATCTGCCCATTGCTCCCCACCCCAGCAGTTGTCAGCCCCACTGCAGCTTCACCTGTGCCACCACTGCAGCACCACCACTGTGCTCACCACAAAAGCCACGCCCCCACTGCTGCCACTGCATCATGGTGGCAGTGCAAGTGCAGCTGCAGATTTAGGGTACAGTTGCAGTGGCTGGGCCAGTGGCAATCTGGGCACAATGGCGTAGTCAGGGAGAGGCCCAAGATCTGTGGGGGAGCAGCAGGGCATTTTGCCTACAGTGGCAAAATGTTCTGGGCCACCCTTGAAGGTTACTGCAAGACCCCCATGCAAACATTTATTGTGCTGTCTCTCTCACGAACTCACACACTCCAGCCAGCTGATACCTTATCCTTCTCTTATTTTTAATAGTGGCACAACACTCCCCTCATTAAACATGTACTTATGAAACACCATTGGTTAAGAAACATGCCTGCAAACTTGCAGCTTGTCACTTGCCCATGGCAATTAACAGTTCCTTCTGCATTAGGAGTTTATCAGATCCACCGCTCAAGTCAGCCTGGGCAACACTGTCTGCATGTGGGAGGCTAAGTAGCCTAGTAAAAATTAAAAAAATATTGAGCTTGTCTGCAGGGAAGTTTTAACCTATACCTGTTTGAAAGGTCATCGGGGTAACTGACAGTAAACGATGTTTCAATTACAAGCATTTTGGCTGGAAAGCAAAATCAATAAAACTCAGTTTTATGTATGCATATTAGTCATTTTGCCAGCTGCATCAGCTGCTACTATAATAATTTCACATTGAAAAATGCCACAAGGGGGCACCTTCTTCCTTCAGTTATGGAAATTCATTGCAATCTCTAGTAGCTGACTTTTCTGAACATTGAGAAAACCAATGGGCTTACTATATTGTGACATTTTCAACAGCTTGGTAAAACAAGGCTTAAGAGTGGAAAGGTCAAACGCAACACATTTAGTGCAAAAGAGGCCCTGGCCACATTCACACATAACAATTATCCTTAGGTTAATCAACCATACTGTGCACAAAGTATGGCACAATGTGCACTGTGCACAATGCTTGCTAGTGCATTGATCCTGATTGTTTCTGCTTCATTCTTCACTTCACATGTGTGAAGTGTAAAACCAGGAAGGGAAAAGCTGAGTGCTACTTCTAAATCCAAGATTTTGGCTTTTTAAATAATAATAATAACAATAATTGAACAGGAATTATAAGTGAACAACATTTAAAGAGGGATAGCAATCCTGGCTTATTAGGGTCAAATACACCACATCCCCAGATATTCAGACATAACACAAAGCTTGCCCTTTCCTGGTTTGTTAACCAGCTTGTGAAAAGTGTGATAGAATGGATTTGCTGCACCAGAGGGCATCTCATGCATCCTATGGTTCTTGGTCTATCATTACTGCAAATGCTGCTTCCATGTATTAAAGGGCATTTTCTGACCGAGGATGTAGCTAAGTGCCTGCTGGTTTGATAGCATATAAAGAACAGTGTTTGCCATAAATTACAAGGTATAGCAATCAGCACAGTTCACTCACAACCCAACCCTAAACATACCCGAGGGATTAATACCAAGTTAAGTATGCTTTGGACTGTTTTAGTGGGATATAAACGTATTCTAATCAAGATATCTTTTAGTTTTGGTTTCGGTGGCACAGGAGAAAATAGGTATAAATCATGTGATGCTTGTATACATAGATTATATGCATCTATGCAGTTGCATGTCACAGTTTTGTACAGTATTTTGTACTTTTCAACTGTACTTTTCTTTTTAAAATTTCAACTGTAATAAAGGGGGAAAGTATGCTTGGGAGTACAGCCTTAAAAGTACAATTTTCCCCACTAAGCCACCAGATTTTGATCATAAATTCAGTTTACTGGATCAGATGATTTGCCCTATTATGGAATTGTGTTTTTTCAAAAGAAGGTAAGTGTAAGTGTTAAATATCAAATTGCTTTGTCCTCCTTAGGTAGAGGGCAGGAGTTAACAAAGTACGTATGTGAAATCTGCTAGAAGAATTTTTGTTCTGTTCTCCAGGCTTACCTCTAACGGATTGTTGTTGTTGTTGTTAGACACTCTATTTGGAAATCCTACGGTCTGGAACTTTTTGAAAGCAGCAGGAGGACTTGCTTATGCTGCTGCTTTCCTACATAGCTTATTTGAAAGGAGGTGTCAGAGAAATAAATGGAACTTGACTTTAATGAAAATGAATGTAGGCTTGAGGTGTTAAAGAGAATCACAGCAGGAAAGGTAAGCATGCCACAGAGCCTGAAGAGAGAGGCAGCCCAAGACATTACTGAATATACTTCCTCTCCTGCTTCAGTTAGACAGAGCCCTTCAGCACCACAGCACCATGTAAAGACCAGCTGACCCATGTAGTGACAAGCCCATGTTCCCCACATAATGTGTGCAATGGCCCAGCATGTATCTCTTAAGCCTTGGATTAGAAAACTAAAATTATGGTATGCGTTTGTGTAAAAAGTCCCCTTTCCCCTTGCATTTCTAGAATGCGAAATAGAAGAATGTAAGACACCACACAGGCTTTTACTTGTTAAATATTATTGCTTGGTACCTCAGGGATGTCAATTAATCTTCTTAACTTCTGATCTCTCCAATTCCAGTCCAAGATGACATACTTCAAGGATGTCATGCTAAGACCATCTGAGGAGACAGTAAGAGACATTTGTTAGTAGCGTGGTAAGTGCATTATCAAAATGATACTGGGCTTTTAAAATTCTTTGCTGCCCAATCAATCCCCAGGCAGCTAGTCTTTGCCTATTGAGTCCTGCCCTTCTTGGTTAGCGGACAATAAAGAAAGATGCCTGCAAGTTTCTGGCTATGAAATCAGTCCTGTGCCTATTCAATAGCTAAACACAAAAGCAGAACGGCCACTGGCATGCTAATCCCAAGTATGTGCCAGCAACTAATTCCCCAAACTTCTACTTCATAAAAACACAAGAACTGTGCTTTTATTACGCTGATGATTTATTATTTATAAACTACTTTTCTGTTCAAATTCCCAAAGCTGTGTGTCATAAGCAGCATTATGAAAATGATGTAATGCTGGCTCTTGCTCAACCATTGTTAAGAGACTGGGTAGAAGTCGCAGGGTTGCACACTCCAGCCCCTCCATTGTGCAAATCCCTGCTTTAAACTGCAAAAAAGGTGAGCATGAGCATCAATGGTACCCCCTTCTATAACACAAACCTTCCTGTACACACAGAGATCAACTCTGGAGACCCTCCTCTGAAGCTGGGGGAGCAGATGACAAGTGAAAAGGCCTTTTTGGTGATGAACCCCATTTGTGGAATGGTCTTCCCAGGAAAGCTCAGCCTGATGCCTTTATAGCACAGGCAAAGAGCTTCATCGCAGTCTGACTGTGCTAAGCGCACTGTGTAGGTGTAAGCTATTCCCTTCCCAGTTTGCTTACCCATTTGTACGAAGGGATGAGTGAAGGGGAAGCGACTGGGCTGTGTGCATCTGTATGCAGTTTGTGCATAACCATTGTTTATTAAGCACAGATTCTTGGCTTATTGCGGCATGCAAACAAGGCCTGCCACATATGTTCAAATATACAGACTCATGAAACCATTCTTAGGGATGGGGGAACGCTTTGTTTTCATTACTGCAACACAGCCTTACCTTGCTCTAAGAGGGCTTTGATCCTTCCAGGTGTCCCAACACCCACATGGATGACCCCTTTCTCCAGCATCTTCACCTGCTCTTGTATCTGTTTGATGGAAACAAAGAAAAAGGTAGCATTTGCAGGAGGCAGGGGAGAGAACAACTATATACATTTCCAATTCCTTCTCAAATATTTAAAAGACGTCTGAAGAAATCTCTAGACTAATGGACGTTCTGCATTACTCCATGGAAAAGAAAAGGAAGCTAAGTAGGAAACTTTTCAAGGGGAAAAGGAAAGCCACTAAAGCCTACTAACTATAAACAGTGTTTGTTTTCTTTTAATGTGCTATTCAATGCTTCCACCTTTTTCCATAATGGACGTTTTTCCATCACCACCTACAAACAACTGAAAAATCAGTATGCTTCTGTGGAACTAAGAAATGGACATCTGTATGAAGTTAACATGCATAATGTACTTGACTTTATAAAGTTAGCACCAGACTGAATTTGCAGTAACTTGTTTAGGACTAAGCAGGGGAAATATACTTACTGGACACAGTTAGCACATGAAGGCAACTACACTCTGTATTTAGCCATTTTGCTAAAGGGATTGTTACATCCCTTCTCTGCCATACCACTTGGTTTCTGTGCTAGGTGGAAGAAGGAAAGGCTTTTCCTCCAGGAGCAGTATAAAAAAAAGAAGGCTAGCAGAGGGAGCTAGAGTGATCTTTCCCTCTTCCTCTTCCCTGCATGGTAGAAGCCTTTCTCTTTTTTACTAGCCCAAGAGGCTAGTATCCCCTGTTTGCTGATCTCTTAGCAGACTAGTAATTGGTGGAAGTAGTTAGAAGAGCTTTGAGATACCCAAAGGGCAAGTGAACAGAAAATAGTTATTAAAAATAAACTCATCTCTCTTAACCGTGCTTACCTTTATGTGTTTTGCAAACATCTTCATCACCTTGCCATCTCCTTTGAATGCTGCCATTGACCTAGAGCAGAAAATACTTTTAAAAAAGAAAAATAGAACTGAAAAGAAAACGAGGACAGGAACTGATCTATGTCAAGTACAAAAGGAATGAATGCACCAAGGGAATGTTTATTAAATTGTAATGATCCTCAGTGTTTCCAGCCCTGGGGAATACCTGCTGAATTCCAGCCTACAACATGAGACACACGTTCCGGTTTTTGTTTTACCTCTCTCTGTGTCTGGGGAGGTTGGCGAAATTATGGATCTCCAGAAGTTGTTGGACTCCAACTCCCATCAGCCCCTGCCAGTGAGACCAATAGACAGGGATGGTGGGAACTGAGAGTCCAGCAATGTCTGGAATGCCACAAGTTCCCCACCTCTGTTCTAGGTGGTAGCAGTCTTGTACCTTCACTAATGGTGTCAGACTTCTTGGCCTAGGGACATGATTTCCGCTTGAAGAATGAGAACGCTCAGGATTCAAATTCGGACAAACTTATGCAATAAGGGAGAAGGCTGTACCTTTTACTAAAAAATATGGGGAGAGGGACCATAGCTCAGTGGTAGAGCTATGGTAAAGCAATGCTTTGTTTGCAGAAGGCCCCATATTTAATACCTTTATCTACAAATACAAGTAGCTTCATCTGAAGTAGCACGTAATGTAAACGACCTCTCTCTATGTGAGACTTTTAAGAGCTGCTGCCAATCAGAGCATCCAATATTGGGATATATGAACAAATATTCTAAACTAGTATAGGTTCCAGCTGTCATGAAAAATTGGGAAATTCAGAAAGTGCACCTTATGCGGCGGGGGGGGGGGGGCACCAAAAAAACCCCCATCTGCTGTAATTTTTTCTGTACACACCTAATAAAATGACCTCTGTCCTCCTTGGTGATTTATCACTCTTCCCCTTCTCTTTAATAAAACCACACATATAAAACCAAACCAACCAAGGAAGGAGTGGAAGTGGGACTGGTGCAACACATTTGTAGCATCCCAATCCATTTGGTGGAGACTAATGCTTCCCAGAACTAACAAGGCACCATATGCAACAGGTTAAGATGCTTTTTAAAAATGCAAAATGTTATTTTGGACTTGAAATATTCATGCTAGAGCTAGGCAAGGAAGCTACCAGTGTAGGGAAGCTGCCTGAGCAAATACATCTGTGACTTCGTAGGCTAGCAGAGGACAGACAGTGCCCGGGTTTTGCCTGTGATTCCGTGGTTTCAGACAAAACCTCAGAAAAGGGTGCCAGCTTCTATTACATCGCTTAACGACATACTTGATGAGTTCCAGACAGCGAAGAGCGGAGCTGCAGATTATCATCATCACCACCGACTTCTTCTCTGTGTGGTTTTTACGGAGCTTCGCCCATTTGGGGCAGACTGCAGTGGGGAAGATAACATGCCGCAGGAGCAGTTATGCAAAATGTACAGCAATGACTAATTGCACGAGAACATGGTGGTGCTTACGTGCCTACTGGCAGGTAGGCAAACTTTTAAGTTTATTTGACTTTTGTAAAAGCCACATTGTAATAAATAAATTTCCAAAGCTAATCACTCCAGGCAGGTAGGTGAGCATCAAACAGCATGGCCAAGCAAGACCACCTAAAATGTCAAGAGACACTGGACAAGCTGTCCCATCTCCCAAATGACTATAGCATAATATTGTTTTGATCTCTTTATATCTCTGTGTGTACGTGTGTATAAAAGAAACGCTACAGATTAAGTTCCACTTTACTCTTTATATTAAAAAAAACACACATAAAGCTAAATATAGTAAATATTATAGAACTAAATATTGCACCAGTTTTATGATCACAATATATCATTGTATATTATTCAAGTATTTTTTGTTTTTGTGATTTGTATGTATACTCCATTTTTCTATAACTCTATCTGGCACAAGGGCTCCGTTAGATATTTTCAAGTATGAGAGCTTGGTTTTAAAACCCTTCCAAACACTGTTCATACCAGTTCAGAATCTGGGGAGAAATGTGATGATTTCTAGCACAAATTGATAATTGTTGATAACTGGACTGCAATGAGTAAATGTGTATGTATTCTTGTCTTTTTAATCATCAAAATTTTTATTGTCAACCATCACCAAGTACCTAAAGCAAGCAAGTTTGTTGCTGAACATTAAGAAAATAACCAATTCTGTTTAAAGGACCAAAACAAACATAATCTAACCACGTTAAGGTAATGCATCTATACAGAAAACAGACAGCAGAATAAGAAACGTTTTTATATAGACTAATAATGGAAATCTAAATTTGATTATAATCCTTTAAGGAAAGTAATGGGCATGAGAGTTATATGCACAGAACACCTTCAGACCAATGAGCTACTCACTTTCTTTCAGGTAGGAAGAAAAACTGTGGGTGAGGTCATTTGCAGGGAGGAAACAGGCATCTGAAACCGCAAGAGAATATTGTTGCTTGGTGCTAAAACTAAGACCTTTGATTAAATCTTCCAGGAAAGCTCTTTTGCCAAAAGCCATGTAAAGTGCTCTTTGGAAAGGCAGAGTTTCACAAGCACTCACAGCTAATAACAAGAAGCTTTAAAGCGGATTAGCTAAATGATGGGAACAACATTTAGCCCAACCAGTGTTTTCCCCCTAGAAAAATAGGTGCTGGTATTGTGTATCCTTGAGTACCCCCTGAAAAAAAGCACTGAGCCCAACCCAGATTCCTTCTAAAATCATCTCGCCATACAGCCCACTCCTAACTTATCCTTAAACATAGCTTTGCTTAACCAGCTGTGCATGCTGCGGAATGTTTGCAGCTTTCTCCTTCAAGAGCTGAATCATTAACCAATACCACAAAACTGCACAGTTCAACTATACAGAACAGTTCCTGCAACCCACACCAAACCCTGGCTCAGCCTAGAACAGCAAATCCTATACTTTCTGTATCTCCAGGAGCTAGGGGCTTACAAAGCGATACACGAAATCCTGCTGCTTACACAAGTATGTTATTGCTGACTTTCGTTAGCAGCTAGAGAGCCAAAACATCTCCCCCGCTCTATCATACACAGTTCCATTTCTTTCAATGTGTTTTATTTTATTTAGGTATTTGTCTTTAGGAATTTACACTCAGCCATGCTTCCAGGGCACTTTACATAAAAAGAGATTATTAAACCATTGTTAAAGGTGAGGTGCCTGGCAGACAATCACTTAAACCTTGGTTTATGATGTCGCAGGATAGCACCAGTGAGCATAGCAGACACTTGAGTTTGGTTTGAATATTCTGTTGCTCTTCACTTGCGGCTCTGTAGCTTTTGGGTGGTGATCACTCCTTAACCATAGTTAAGGAGGTGCTCTGGGTTTGCATATCACACTAAAGTATGGTTAATGTTAGCAAAGGTTTACCAAGAACAAACCTTGGTTAATGACTGACCTTTAACTATATTTAATAAATCATAGTTACATTGCTCGGCTGGGATCAGAATTAAATGTTGCAGCACGGTTTAGCATGAACGAACCAGGCCACAGTTGTGTTACAAACTAACATTCCTATTGTTCTTTCTGTTGGTGCATCTTTTATAATATCCTTCATTATATAATATATTTCATTACCTGGCAACTGTAATTCTTCTAATTCAATCACTGAACGTTTAGCACAAAAATGTTCCTTAAGAAGTTTCTGTAGGTCTTCAGGTACTCCTGGTTTTGGAGATGATTTTGAAAGAATATCAGAAATTTTCTTCTAAAGAAACAGAAGAAGAGGCACATTCAGCACAGTGATTCCATCTTCACCACTCTTATTGATAAATACACTGTTTTCTATTCTTTTTCTAGTCTGAAAACAACAGGTCTTCAAAAACCTTACATGTGGGACATCTTATGTAGCCTACATGGATTAAGACACCAGGATTCAGTCTAGAATACTTTAGATGGATATGGCAAAAGCTATCTAAAAGCTGTTGCTTTTTTAGCACGTTTAAACAGCTTTAACATATTTGCTTATGCATATAGCTTCTGCAGTGGCCTGAAGAATGTGGAGTCACATCAAATGGGAGGCTTTTATCCATATTTCTCTCAACCATCCCCCAAATCTCTGCTCAGCTGTTCATCAAGTTTCTATGGGATTTTCCCAAACAAGCATTAAAAAAATCTCTAAGCAAAAAGGGACAGCTGAACTGTTCTGCCTTCAAGACCATAGCACCATCCATGCTTACATTTTCTAATTCAACAAATTAAAATTTTCCTTTAAGGGCAGAGATTGTCTCCTGGGCAATTTTCAGAGTGATCTTTTGCATTTGTTTAACATAGCATACATAAGCAGATAAGAATCTGACAAAGATCAATGGGACTCACTTCACTTAAAGCCGGGAGGTGGGGGGAAAGAGCACTATTTCATGGCGCTATTACATCATTCATTGAGTCACTCAATTCCTTCAGGAAAATAATGGTACTCTGGAGGGTGATGCTGATATTAACAAGAAATTCCATAACGGTAAGAACAAGGACACCTGAATATATTCCCTTCCTTCAAAGAGCTGTGGGAGGAAACGTTCTTCACGCAGGAAGTTTTATTATTTTGCTTCTAATTCATTCCAGATGCTAAAGAGCAAAAGGCTTTTTAAAAAGGAAGAATTGGGGGTGGGGACACAGAGACGTTTGCTGTGATATCCATGCCACACTTATTTCCTTACAGCTTGTTCATTCTGGGATTCAGTGCTATAATGCTACAAATATTGCTCTGGAAAGCACCAAAAATGAGGTGTGATGTCAGTCTCCAAAACAAAAACCTTCCAATGGAACATTTTTTTAACATGGATATTACATCCTTGCAGAAGAGCTTGTGAATATATATTCAGGTATGACAACTGAACCCAGTGCCTGTTTAAGACAGCCTGGATAGCTCAGGATAGAGTGGTTAGAGTGTGGTGCTGATTATGCCAAGGTCGCAGGTTCAATCCCCATATGGGACAGCTGCATATTCCTGCATTGCAATGGGTTGGACTAGATCAGGGGTCGGCAAACTAAGGTCCGGGGACTGGATGCGGCTCACTGGGCTTGTTAATCCGGCCTGCAAACCTTTTGGGCCCTGCCACCCGCTCAGTCAGTCCCTGCGTGGCACAGAGGCCCCGCCGTGCAGGGACTGACTTCCGCAATGCTGGCGTGGCTTTGGATTGGCTGCAGGAAGCTCCTGCCGCCAATCTGAAGCTGCGGGTGCCTCTGGGCAGGCGGCGATGCTGGCACGGCTTCGGATTGGCCGCAGGAAGCTCCCACAGCCAATCCGAAGCTGCAGACGCCTCTGGGCGACGCCCCTTCCTTCCTGCTGAGGCGGCCACGTATGGCGGCGGCGGGGAGGCTGCCTCCGCCGCCCAGGCCAGCAGCATGGGCTCTGTGCCCTGTGGACCATTGACCAAGGCAGAGGACAACGATGATGCTGCCGAAGACAAGGCGGTGTTGGCGGCTGCAGCATGAGTGGTGGCAGAGGGGTCCTTTCGGGAAAGGGTGGGTCTGGCCCCCCACAAGGTCTGAGGGACTGTGTCCCCCTCCTGAAAAAGTTTGCTGACCCCTGGACTAGATGATCCTCAGGGTCCCTGTCTACAATTATTATTTTTTTAAATAATATTTATTAATTTTCCACCGTTTAAACACAACAAAACAGAAAGACAAAAAAAGAACAAAAAAGAAAAAGAAGAAAAACATAAAACTAACAAAGCAAAACACAAACCATTTCAAACACAAAACAATTTCGATGTCTTATCTTTCATTCCCTTATTTCCACGACCTCCTCACACCTCCCTTTTCGTTTTCCACTTCTATTAATTATTTCAGCAATTCCTTTCCATCTTCCTCTGTTTTCTATCCTATAATTATCTTAACATATTTTAGCCTTATTTTCCCTTTAATACACTATTAATCTAATTATACTTGATTCCTTATAGCATTTCTACTAAAGCCATATAGCTTCATTCCAACATTTTTCTAACATTCATTATTTTTACAGTATTTCTATAAATAGTCTTAAACTTTTTCCAGTCTTCTTCCACCAGCTCTTCTCCCTGGTCTCGGATTTCTGCCAGTCGTTTCCGCCAATTCCATATAGTCCATCAACTTCATCTGCCATTCTTCCCGAATGGATAAATCTTGTGTCTTCCAGTACTTCACAATGAGTATTCTTGCTGCTATTGTTGCATGCATGAAACAAATTCTATCCTTCTTTAACACCAATTGGCCGACCATGCCCAGGAGAAAGGCCTCTGGTTTCTTCAAAAGGGTATATTTAAATACCTTTTTCATTTCGTTATGAATCATCTCCCAGAGTGTCTTAATCCTTGGGCATGTCCACCAAAGGTGAACTCTAATCCTCAAATTCGTCTGTTTTTCTTTAAGTTCAGTCATAGCAAGCGTCAACTTATGTTCATCAAATTGCCTCTGTAGGGCTGGGGTTCTCTTTCTCTTTCTCTCCAGTTGTGTTACTTTACCTTCAGCAGCCACAGCTTTTTCCCTGACTTCCTCCACAGTTTGCCATATCAAAATAGGTTCTTGTATCAATTTCTGGGTGGTTTCTGTATTGGTATTATTTATACTTTCTGTATTTAAGTTAATTTTAGTAATTGAAACATCCACTTTCGCATTTATCGTGTCCATTTTCCTGTGAAGCTGATCCAATGAGTCATTTATCTTATGTAATGCAGCCACTAAAGCCTCTTCTGTCGACATTCCTCTTGATTTTAAATATACTAGTACAAAGTCAGCAACAGAAAGAACAGTAGGGCCTAATGATAGACCTCTCCTGGATTGTTACCAAGTCCTCCCAGACCTTAATGTTTTGTCAGCAGTTGACTGATCTGTTTTTCCTCTTCCATTTACCATAACACTTAAAAGATTCAAGGTTAGTCCCAGAGTCTCACGGTTTTTAACTTGCAGCTGGAAATTCCCCTAGTCCAGCTCTTGTAAAGCAAGCGGTTTCAAAGGCTTCCACTAGGGGGAAACAGTTTCTATTTGTAATAGTCAATAGTATCCTCTTTTAAACAATCCAAAATTAGTTTCAAATTAGTTTCAATTTTCAGTTACTTTTACTCCTTTTTTAAAGCAGCCAGAGACAGTAGAAACAATGTATTTCTCTTATTTAACTAGCTGTCAATGAACGTTCTAAGTGCTGTCAATGAACATTCCAAAAGACGTCAGTCCTACTAGCAGCCCATTTCCAGGGACAGAGCGGCGGTGTTTTAAGTCTCTTCGCTCTCTCCCGCAGGCATACTCAACTTCGCCCTCTCTTCTCCTGCCTCCAAGAGGGGGTTTAATGTTCTTTACCGTTGGAAATTTGATCTTTTACAAAAGACCTTCCAGGACTCCAGCTTGCAACTTCATTGCCTCAGTCTATTTACACAAGGGGAAGGCGGACTTCCTGTTTTGAACCTCCCCGTTACGGTACCAAATTAAACATTTAGAAATCCAATTCTTCCGCTTCAGCTCTACTCACGGGTAATTACTTTAAAGTCAAATTGTCCACAAGAAAAGGTCAGCGCTCTCCGGCAACAGCTATGCGGCTTCGCTCTGTGGAAGAAGCAGACGATTCGATGCACCGCGCCGCTCACCCCATGTCGCTCCGGAGCCCCAAAAAACGGGGTTCCCCGCGAGTGGGGGAGGCGCAAAAGGTGCCCGCCGAATCTCTGTCTACAATTCTATGAAAGAACCTAAGAAGAGCTCTGTTGGATCAGATAGAAGGCCTAGGTGCCTGACACCTCCTGTTTTTTGGGATTCCCAGGAAGGTAACACAAACAGGAAGCTTATTTTATCCCATGTGGACCTCCAGACATGGTTGGCAGGCTGAGTTCAGCTTGGTAGGTCTTTGACTTGCAACTCCTGGTACAGAATTTGGGTATCTTGCACCTGCCTGTTGAATCAAGAGTAAAGATACTACGTCCGTGTTGGTATGTGCAACAAATTAGTAGAGCTTTAAGATAATGCATAAGTGAAAAGAGTAATAATAGAACTTAAAAGCCTGATGCTGTATTAACTCAGCTTTTTTTTTTTTTTTTGGAATACAATCTTATATCTGAGAATTTGGGAGTTTTTGGCAACTGAGCACACCCATATATCAACTCAGAAAGGACAAGATCCTCATGTTTTACCTTCTCAATGGGAGTATGTTGGATTTATAACTTGCAGACAGTTATCCCTAGTGGTTTGAACAAGAGATTTGATTTATTAGCATTTTTGTAACAAGTTTAATGTTGCAATGTCTGTTTTCACTTCAAATATATTTCATGGCTATTCATGTTGTTTTTTAAACCAAATCTTACATGATACAAATAAGGCATGTCCCTTCACTGTACTCTTCTTGTATTCAGATATCCAGATATCCTACCCACATATCACTTGCTTTAATTTTTTTAAAAAGTTGTATTGAACTGTTTTTACCAATAATTTTACTGTTTTAATGTGGACTGACAGTTTGAATTGGAGGTTGCCACAATGGGAGAAATAGGAGGCTCTTGGAATGCAATGCTTTGAACCCCTTTTATCACAGGATTGGGTTGTGTATACATGTAAATAAACCATATATCCGAAAGACACCATAGTCTCTGTTGTGCCTCATTGTACTAAAGGAAACACAGACCCTGGGGTAAGCGCCTGGAACCCCTGGAACTGCTGTGGAGATTGGGGTGATATGCAAAAAATACTTCTCTACACTGAATTACTCAGTTGTATATTGAACAGGGATTTAGCTCAAATATATTAGTGGAGTAAGATAAAACAAGGATGGAATTTTCTTGAATGAAATGATTTTCAGTGACTGAAAAATAACCCTCAGAACTAAAAGGGTAAGGTGTGGGGATAAACTTTAAAGCTTTTAAAAAGTCATTTGTTTTGTGTTGTCTCCTAACAATTCTGAAGCATTTTATAACAGCTGCCAGAGAAGCATTTATGCTGCTATGTTGCAATGTCAGTTAGGAGTCAATACCTTTCTTCTTCTCTTTGGCTTTGCTTCACTTTGGTTTTTATTCGCAGAGTCCTCTTTTTCTGCACCAAGGAAACATTCTGTAGCCTGCGGGTAGGGAAGGTGGGCAGGGAAAGAAAGAAAAAAGGAAAAGAAGCTGAGCATTTGGGCTGAGTTACATCATCATTAAAAACACTTTAGAAACACAACTGAGCCGGTGTGTGGGAATTAAGCACATGTCTCGGCTGCCAGCATCTGCCAAAAATGAAAAGATTCTGGATCATGTTCGATCTGTCCAAATCAGCCTGGCTGTGGAAGAAATCAAAAGCATACTGCAGCTGGAGATAAGCGGGAACTAACAACAGGAATAGGGCAGGTTTACCATTTAACAAACAGATAACTAGAAGAAGAGAAGAAGAGTTTGGATTTGATATCCCACCTTTCACTCCCCTTCAGGAGTCTCAAAGCGGCTAACATTCTCCTTTCCCTTCCTCCCCCACAACAAACACTCTGTGAGGTGAGTGAGGCTGAGAGACTTCAGAGAAGTGTGACTGGCCCAAGGTCACCCAGCAGCTGCATGTGGAGGAGCGGAGACGCGAACCCGGTTCCCCAGATTATGAGACTACCGCTCTTAACCACTGCACCACACTGGCTCTCATGTTACATAATGAATGAACTCTATCCATTTTAGATATGGAATTTACAGCTGGTTAACTGCATTCTTTAAACACAACAGGAAAAAAAACCTTGGCATTAATTATATAGAGTGAACAAGAAAAATGCACTCAGAAAGTGATTGTTGCTGCACTGTTTGCGAATGACCTTTTCTCAATGTATAATCATGTCCTGTGCCTTACAAAACATCACATGACTGGAGTTTTTTTTGTAGGGGTGTACATTTAAAAGAACATGTTGAAAATCTGTTTCTGCACCCTGCCAGTTTAAGAGTATCTGACTCTACCCTTCACAATTTTCGCTTAATTTGAGGCCAAGAAGGGTCACGATGATTAGAAGCAATGGAATAAAGCAATTTGTCTGACCCACGGCAGCAACATTGAGAAGTGATGTGTATATGGTTATTGGGAATCAACAATTTGTTGGCAGAGTCCTCCTCACCTGGCCTGCACTTCCAGAGAAAAAGGTCAGAGGTGTGTTTGAAGCATGCACTGTTAGGCCTTGCTGCCAGAAGGTGATGTGTCTTCCAGAAGCAGCACCGAATGTTCCACCCAGCCATCTTTTCCAAGGGAAAGGCTTCATTGGAACAAGCACTTCCCATTAGTGCTCCGAGTGCCTTCAAGCAGTGGCAGCCAATGACAACCCTGTCTGCTTTTCTTCTTACAGAGGAAGAGGCCTTCCTCCCAACTTTGGGACTGGTGGAGAATCGCTATAAAACTCCTTGGACAATCCTTTGTTGTTTAGTCGTTTAGTTATGTCCGACTCTCCGTGACCCCATGGACCAGAGCACGCCAGGCACTCCTGTCTTCCACTGCCTCCTGCAGTTTGGTCAAACTCATGCTGGTATCTTCCAGAACACTGTCTAACCATCTCGTCCTCTGTCATCCCCTTCTCCTTGTGCCCTCCATCTTTCCCAACATCAGGGTCTTTTCCAGGGAGTCTTCTCTTCTCATGAGGTGGCCAAAGTATTGGAGCCTCAGCTTCACGATCTGTCCTTCCAGTGAGCACTCAGGGCTGATTTCCTTAAGAATGGATAGGTTTGATCTTCTTGCAGTCCATGGGACTCTCAAGAGTCTCCTCCAACACCATAATTCAAAAGCATCAATTCTTCGGCGATCAGCCTTCTTTATGGTCCAGCTTTATGGACAATCCTACCCACCCCTATAGCTTTGAAGTTTGGAGTGCTCATCACACTCATCAGAGGGCAGTGCCACATTCAGCACTGTGGGGGTATTTGCCGAAGTCTAACTTTTGGCAACAGCACATGCAAAGTTCCTGGAAGAACGGGTTTTCAGACTGGTCTTCAAAGCAACATTTATTTTAAAATCTGCTCCCCTCGCCTTCCAGACATTGAGATGTCACCAACAAAGAAATATAGTGTTCTAAAAGAAAGCTTTGATGCAGAAAATCAGCTTGAACAGGCTGAAACAGCAGTATATACTAAAACGTAACAAATTAATTTTAAAAGGTAGTCAGGTTTTCTTTAAAAAAAATTTTTTATTGCTTTTAGCCAAAGGCCTTTGCAAAACAGGCAGTCAGTATACAAGATGTCTGGCAGTATGTCTTGGTAAATTCCACACCTGCTAGCTTTTGGTAGGGAAATGTTTGCCCCATCTGCCCACTCAAAAATTATTTTGGATTTTCCAAGTGCTCCAATTTAAGATGCAAAAGACTTTAAGAGGTCTTTGCAGTTTTTGACAAGATGCTTCAGAGTCTACACTGCTTTTTTCTAGTGCTGTAGCTCTAAAGAAGCTTTCACCCGCTGGATGTTTTGAACTACAATTCCCATTGGCAGCAGACAGTATAACTGTGGACATTTGCACACTGTGGTCACTAAACTGGTGATAGATAAAATGCTGAACTGTAGAGCTGCCAACCAAGTACCAACTAGTAGAATTGCTATAGACCCAGAAACTCAAGTATTTGGATTCTACCCAACAAGCAGCACAGAAATTCCATTGCCTACTTTTCATTATGCATCATCTTTCTCTGCACGGGTAGTCGTGAGAATAAAACCAACCAACCTGTTTTCTTTTCTTTGAAGTAGGTGGCATAGGGGTTGTATGTTGCTGCTCTGTTTTACTCGTGCCAGCACATTCTTCCGAAGAGGCATCAGGTGACAGACCTAAAGACAAAAGTAAATCTCAAAAACATATCCACTGTTCTGCATTCTGATCAAATGACACTGATGCAATTATTTCCTCCAGTAGTAAACTTGGGGGCTTGAGTGCCTATCAGTTTGGATGTGCAATGCCTCCTCCACTGGCCAAAAAGAAAAGGAAAAGAAAAATCTAGTGGCTTTTACATATTCTTGGGGTATTATGGTAGAGGGGAAACATTTCATTCCCTGCACTGCACAAGGAGGGGGGTTGGGAGATGGAAGGAATACCAGTTTATCAGATTCCAGAGGAACACTCAACATGATCCAGAGGTTCAAAATTCACTTGCAATGCAGCATTTACTATGCACTGGAATATATCTGTATTGCTCTATCCAGGTAGCCATATGCTGAGTCAACTGCTTCCCAAGATACCCTCTGCATACTGTAACCTAAAGACTTTGTACTGTCTATAGCTTGCCAAGAAAATCTGACAGCTAACTTTAACATTTCTTTATAAATCCTGACTTGGCATGTTCAGAAAGCAGAGAGGGAGGTGCCCCCAAAGCAGAGTCATAAATAGCCTCTTCTCCTGTATCTGCTTGTAGATTGCTCATTATAGAACTCTAAAAGTAGACAAATGGCTTCCAGGATACAACTTTGCAAACAATGCACCACCTGTTAACTGCCCATCTTTACTCTGGAACTGGATTGCAGTATGCAAGACCCTCCAACTTTTTTCCAGCTTGGAATGACACAAGTTCAGCATCTTGCTGGGATAGCTCAGTTGGCAGAGCATGAGACTCTTAATCTCAAAATCGTGGGTTCAAGCCCCACACTGGGCAAAATATTCCTGCATTGCAGGGGGTTGGACTAGATGACTCCCACAGTCCCTTCCAATTCTATGGTTTAATTACATGATTCTGAGGAAGACACCCCATAGCAATATATTAAATGCTTCCTGCTCCTGTGCAAACCTTCCCCAGTTCAAATGCAATAAACTGTTACTTAATCTGGAAGAAATATCAGGATTGATTTCTGGTTTTGGAAGGTATTATTTACAGTTTAAATGGCTAAAAATTGCTATATACTGTACAGACTTAAAACAACAACAACAACCAAGGCCTCTGGGCTTAACATCTAACTGACATGATCAGAAAAATGGAAAAGGGAGAGGAAAACTCTCTCAGGTACCAATTATTAAAGCTACATCAGTAGTTCTCATAAGAGTCAGCAAGACTAAGGGAGTCCAGGAAGGGAAGGAGAGAAAGGGCAGCTTTTTTTCAGATAAGGGGAAGGAGTAGGTCTTGCTGTCCCATCTCGCCTACTGCAGCCAGGTAAAATGGTGATATTCAGTTTCTATTTGTTCTTTGTTCCACCATGAAATTTATACTGGCATATAAACAGCTCAGGACGGCCATACCTCAAGGACTGCCTCTTTCCATATGAACCTACCCAGACCCTGAGATCATCTTCTGAGGCCCTTCTTCATGTGCCTCTTCCTCGAGAGGTCTGGAGGGTGGCAACACGAGAACAGGCCCTTTCTGCAGTGGCTGCTCACCTGGCGAATGCTCTCCCCAGGGAAGTTCACCTGGTGCCTTCACCTTTAGGCTCCAGGCAAAAATGTTCCTCTTAAACCAGACCTTTGGTTGATTTGTGGGACGCGGGTGGCGCTGTGGGTTAAACCACAGAGCCTAGGACTTGCCGATCAGAAGGTCGGTGGTTCGAATCCCCGAGACACGGTGAGCTCCCGTTGCTCGGTCCCTGCTCCTGCCAACCTAGCAGTTCGAAAGCACGTCATGTGCAAGTAGATAAATAGGGACCGCTCCGGCGGGAAGGTAAACGGCATTTCCGTGTGCTGCTCTGGTTTGCCAGAAGCAGCTTAGTCATGCTGGCCACATGACCCAGAAGCTGTCTGTGGACAAACACCGGCTCCCTCGGCCTATAGAGCGAGATGAGCGCCGCAACCCCAGAGTCGGTCACGACTGGACCTAATGGTCAGGGTTCCCTTTACCTTTACCTTGGTTGATTTGATTGACATCCTATGCCCCTTTAAAATGAGTGTGTGCGTGGGGGGGGGAGTTATTGGGTTGTTGTTTTTATTTTGATTATGGATTTTGTGGTTTTATATCCTGATTTTATTCTGTGAACCACCCTGAGACCTGTGGGTATAGGGTGGTATATAAATACAGTGGTACCTCGGGTTACATACGCTTCAGGTTACATACGCTTCAGGTTACACACTCCGCTAACCCAGAAATAGTGCTTCAGGTTAAGAGAACAGAAATCGTGGCATGGCGGCAGCGGGAGGCCCCATTAGCTAAAGTGGTGCTTCAGGTTAAGAACAGTTTCAGGTTAAGAACGGACCTCCGGAACGAATTAAGTACTTAACCCGAGGTACCACTGTAATAATAATAATAATAATAATAATGTTCCAGATCGTCTCTCAAGCTGTGGCTAGACCTAGACCTGCTTAGCTTCAACAAGGTTGCTGCATTATTTGCCTTCAGACCCCGAGTCCATATGGATGGGCTAATTTAAGTACTAGAATTACAAGGAAAGACATTTTTGGATAAGTACAAGGCTGATTTTTGACATATAATACCAGCTATGTGCCTCAACCTAGAGTTCTAGGCATACTGCAAGGTACTCCAGGGCTATGTGTGCAGGAGTCCCCATTAATTTGAACAGAGGTAGGTGACCACACATGATATCCTTGTTAGGATATTTCCGTTCCACCTTAAAAGGGAGCAGGATGTTTGTGTCACAGCCTGCGTATTTCCTGTTCACAGGATGTTTCTGTTGTGTCTATGCTTTCGTTTCTCTCTCTGTGTCTGAGACACTGAAGCAGGCAGTCATGTTTTCTTTGTTCTGACCAACGCTGAATAAACTTGTAAATAATGCTCTCCTGCGTGCATCTTTCACTGTGTGAATTCTGCTGATAGAGCGTGCATCAGCTCTGGAATGTGGCAAGCTATTTCTGGAGCTCGTGTCGCTAATTGCTGATACTGTATCTACGGGAGATCGATGGACGTCCGGAGGCGACGTGGAGTCATGATGGACTTTGTCTCCCTGGCAGTATCCCAACAATCCTTTGGTGCTCTGTGCGGAAATGAATGGAAAAGCCATGTGTGCATGACAAGCTCTGCCTGCAGCTTGCAATATCCATAGGAGCAGGGCAAGTTCATAACTGGTACTTTCTAAACAGTTTCCTAGGACTCAACTATACTGACAGAATAAAAAAAGGCAGAAAATATGTTCTGACATAAGCAATTATATAATATTAGCACAGCAGAAGCTGACTAACCACTTCCAGCCAGGGATATTCAGGGTTTTCAAAAATATGCTAAAGTTGGAAAATGATTCAAGTTCTCATACATATATTTGTTTTGGTTCCTGCAATGACCATGACTTACATGCTTTACATGTGGTACATTTTTGCATAACAAACCAGCTAGTCATACTTTGAGGGGCTACTTCATGGTACAGACAGCTGTCAGTCTGAGTAGGGGTCCCCAAACTGTGGCCCATGAGCTTCCACTGAGGTGGTTCACGGAATGTCCACATCATTTTAAATTTTCATTGCTTCTTTTATTTCCCTTAATGTATTATAAGTGATGTTGATGTGGAGACAAGCAATCATTCATTCATACATGGTACATTACAAAACAAATCAATGCAGATCACCCTAAGTTTAATATTCCCCAGCAACACTAAACAAACAAGCAAACACACAAAAGAGGCGGGGAATACTTGGGAACAGCTGAAATCGCAGAGGTTCAGAGAGTAATTAAGTCTGCATTCCATTTTAAGACTCACAGAAACTGCAGACTTTGGGGCTCCAACACCAAGCCCAGCTTTTTCACCCTCCTGATCCCAGGTTTTGTTTAATATCCCGCCTTATGGAGAAGTTAAAAGCTTACTCATTGTTTCCTGACATTATGGTTGGTCTTAATAAACCTTTTTGGTTTTTGGATTCCACCTCCCCAACTCCCAAAGGATCAACACAGCTATCTATGTCTTTTGTCTGCTTTAAATAGAGGTTAACATACTTACCCTTCATATTTATAGTCATACCTCATGCTACGTTTGCTTCATGTTACGTTCTTTCAGGTTACATTCCGCAGTGACCCGGAAGTACCGGAAAGGGTTACTTCCAGGTTTCGCCGCTCATGCATGCGCAGAAGTGCAAAATGACACCACGTGCATGTGCAGAAGCGCTGAATCGCAACCCGCACGTGTGCAGACGCGCAGCTGCGGGTTGCGGTTTTTTCATGTTGCGAACGGGCCTCTGGAATGGATCCCGTTCGCAACCAGAGGTACCACTGTATATCCCACTTTTCCTCAACAAAACCAAGGTGGCTAACAACATAAGTTAAATCAATAATGTAACAATTTTAAACACAATGCCATGGCTATAAATAAAACGAAGCAGCCATAATATACTGAAACAGCAATACAAAAACACTACAGCCATAAAAAATAATTTAGTTTAACTAAATTCACTTCAAAAAGAGGACAGCCATTTATGATCCCCAAACCCTTCTTAAAAAGGAAGGTTTTGACCATCTTACAGAAAGCCATTAGAAAGGGGGAGAGGCAGATTCCAGAGCCTGAATACAGCTACAAAAAAGCCTGTTTCCTGGTCCCAACTAGATATACTTATGGGGTATTTGGGATACACAAGAGGGCTTCTGACAAGCAGTCCTTCCTATCTACAAGTATGTGTGATACTCTTGCTCAGCTTCTAAATTATTTGAGAAATTGCAAGCTGAGGTTAGGGAGAAACTCATCAGTGCCCATGGTTGAGAACAGTCAATCAAAGCATCTGCATAATCCAGGACCTGCAAACCACATGGTTACATTGCTCATACTTCTTCTACATGCCTCTCAACTCCTACTTTACAGAGAACAGTTCTCAGCTTGAAGGTATTCTCTGATTGGAGGGCTGCCTAGCCCAAGTCCAGTTTAGAGATTAAGAGCCATAGGAAGGGAGTGTACCGACCTTGAAGTCACCCACCAACAGTTATACCACTGAACAGCAGACTCAGCAAGCACACAGTTCATCAGGTCATGGTCTTCCATATCATGATGAGAGGCATTTCTGTATAAAGCAGCTTCCTGCAAATTGGTGTCCTCCAGATGTTTGGGGCGCCAGCTCTCATCAGTCTCAACCAGCACAGTCAATGGCCAGGGATAAGGAGAGCTGTAGCCCAAAATATAGGGAGGACACCAGCTTGGTAGAGGCCAGTTTAAATTATAGTAATTATTTCTAGACCAGCACCTATACATATAAATTAGCATATGCAAATGTTTGCAAGCCTGTGTCCTCTCTGTGTGTGATGCCTTTCGTCCTTTTTTTTGGCAATGACTAAGCAACCACCCTGGGATGCGGGTGGCTCTGTGAGTTAAACCACAGAGCCTAGGGCTTGCCGATCAGAAGGTCGGCGGTTCGAATCCCCACGATGGGGTGAGCTCCCATTGCTCGGTTCCTGCTCCTGCAGTTCGAAAGCACACAGTGCAAGTAGATAAATAGGTACAGCTCCGGCGGGAAGGTAAACGGTGTTCCCGTGAGCTGCTCTGGTTCGCCAGAAGTGGCTTAGTCATGCTGGCCACATGACCCGGAAGCTGTACGCCAGCTCCCTCGTTCAGTAAAGTGAGATGAGCACCGCAACCCCAGAGTCGTCTGCGACGACCTAATGGTCAGGGGTCCCTTTACCTTTACCTTTAAGCAACCACCCTGGGAATGGTTTCTTATCAAGCAGGGTAGTTTTCCATGCTCTCAAGCTACATACAGGGGCAGCATTAATATAAACTGTAGCACAGTCAAACTAGCTTCTTGTTTTGACTAAAAGGGGAAATGCTATGGGCTTCTCCACTGGGAAGTTTCCCCTTTCTTCCAGGCTTAAAGCAGAAGGGGGGGGGGTACTGGAAGCAGTCATTCCTCTAAGAATACCTCTTTAAAAAAATATGCACACAGACAGAAATTAAGCAGGATGCAGTTGCGATAGAGATAGTGCCCATACCTGGCTTGCTGCAAGCAGATGTCTGCTACTTGCATTATGTCCTATCTCCTCTGCGAAGAATGACAAGAGGAGAGGTCAGCTTTCCAACAAGGTCAGTATTTGGAGAGCGAAGCATGGAAAGTGGGTTGCGTTATATTTAGAGTTTGGTCTAAATCAGTGCCAGTGTTGGCCCCCTCCCATCTCTTCTTTGCAGTGCTGTCTCTCAGGTCCCTGGATCTTACACTGCTGGATCTAAACCTGCCCAATACAAAGGGAGGGGAACTGTTCCAAAGCTTCCAAAAAGAGCAAACTGTGTGGCTTTTTGAAATGAGTGCTCTGGGTGCTCAGAAGATAAAGCTCAAGTAGAATTTCACTTCTGTAAAGAGACATTTTTATTTGCTGACCTGGATTTGTCCTTTGTGAAGGGGCGGAAAAAGGAAATTAGCCAGGAAGCTGCCTTCTCAAATATGGTAAGGTTTTCTATTCTAATGTCATTTTAGAGAAATTGTTGTGTGGCTGTTCAGTGTAACAAATTTTACTATGTTTGCCTTTAGTGTGAGGTTTCCAAATATAAATGATAACAATTCTGTTTTGGATGTAATCTTGTTTATTTGATTAGAGATATTACAGGTTTCCTATCCTATTGTGTAAATAACACACAAAATAATTATGTGCCATGCCAAAGTTCATCCCTGTCTATAAACTTTCACTGATTGGCAGGAAAAATATTAATAGAAATGGAAATGTTACGTCACTAGAATCCTCGGGTAGAGGAAATAAAATGCATGTCTGTGCATATAAATTATGTCTTATTACTTTTGAACAGGTATAGCATTTCACCTACAACATCAGTTTCATGGCAGGTAGCAATATATCTGAGGCAAATAATCCCATCAGAGGTGTATTAGGTTGTGAGATGTGTGGCATCTGCTACCTCATCCTTTCCCTTTCTGCCCCAGACTTCACCACCTCAACCTGACCAGTGATTCCTAGGATAATGTCCACTCTGTAATACATTCCCAACTAAACAATGCTAGAGACTGCAGTTCTATGAAGTGGCTAATATCTCTAAAAAGAAACAAAAAACAAAGCCTTTGCAGCTCTTTTTGGAAGGCCTGATGGCTGAATCAGTTTAAAACAGAGTTTAGTTTTTTGGTGCTGATGTGTCTCAAAGAATCCACTATTTTGGAACTTCCCAGCTTTCCATTATGATTTTCACTGCTGTTGATTCTTTAATTACTTGGCTCACTTGGACCCAAGTATTTGCTCTGAAAAGGACAAGGGTAATGCAATAGCACACTTGCACACCAGAGAGTCTTTCCTTTCTTCAACTGGGTTCGAACTGCTTCAAGGGCCACGAGCAACAGTTCAGGCATCATTTGTTACCATTGTGGCAGTTCCCACAGAAAACTGTTAAGATGGAAAAACGAAACAGCTGGTATTTAAAGGTCAATGAGTTGCTTAGCACCCAGTCTTCATTCTGTCCAAGGCAAATGAGAATTCAGCAGTGAAACTTCAATTCCAGAATAACAGTTTGATTCAACGCATGAGAGAAGGGTTCCTATAAGGGGATTTCTTCCATGATGCCTCATCATTGGAATATCTTAGGCAAACTACAAAATTACAGTGGATCCCCTTGCCACCCCACCCTCAGATAAGGTGAGGCATATTTTAAAAGAGAGTTCATTTCTCATAGGTATGATTCATGCTATGCCTTACTTCTTCCACAACAAAATGAGCAGAGTAAATACTCAAAATGCTGTGTTGTGACATCTTGGTATTTAATGAGCATACTGAACTTATTATTTAAGTTTACTAAGTGGGAATACAGTATAAAAGATTGTCAAGTATAATCCACTGGTTTACAAATGGTAATCCATTGGTTATATGGATCTTAGACATTGTAATAAAGCCAGTAACCTTGTATAATAAGGCAATCTTCTTTCCATTTGTGGATCATGAGTCAATTTCTTGTGGACCACCTAACGTCTCCTGAATGCTAGCATTATTGCAAAAATGAATGAATGAGGAAGAGATCTTGGTGAGATCTTGTATGGCACTTCTACTGCTGTTTAGCAGCATCGCTGAATAAACCTTCACCAGTAGCAGTGTGTGTAGCGAGCTGGAGTTGCCCTCCAGACACAAGCATCACCGCTGCTTACTTGGACAGGGCTGAGATTGGTCAAGGCAGCAACAAGACTGGGACTGTGCAGGTGCGTCCTAAGAAGCTCCAAGTTGGTCGGGGCATTCTCAGTGCTGTATTAGCACAGCCAGAACTTCACCAGCATTCTGCCCCACCCGAGCCCTGTCCAGGTAAGCACCACACATGCTGCTTGCTGGCCTAAACTATTATCCTGAGCATGCTTTGCAAATTTAAAAATACATTGGTGGACAACAGAGATCATAGAATCATAGAATTTGGAAGAGACCATAATCCCCTGCAATGCAAGAATCTTTTGCCCAAACCGGGATTAAGAGATTCATGCTCTTCTGACTGAGCTATTTTAAAACAATGTAAGTCTGATGTTGGTTCTTCCCCAATCTATCTTGCGTGAAACATTAACTACAGAATTCATATCGCATGCAGGATAGCCTGCAAGGTGCACTATGGCCAAGTCCCACAATGCCATCAATGGCTACACGTCCAGGATAGGAAGTTTTTCCAGGTGACTGAGTAGTGACAGGACTGGAGCCAAAATAGGCCCACTGAAAAGCAAAAGGGAGAATTGGCAGCCAAAGTTTAAGTCAAGAAGGGATGAAAAGAAGTGAGAGAGAAGTGGTGGTTTTAAACAATGGCAGGGGTTTGAGTAAAGTACCTTCATTGCATGATGGTACTGTGGAATATGTGAGAGCTCTGAATTCTTCATCTCTCTCACATGAGGCAGCAGAAGAGGGAGAGGTCTGAGCACAGCGCAAAGGGAGGAACACTGAAAGGAAAAAAGTGGCTGTTTTAAACAATGCTAGGAGTGGGGTGGGGCAGTTCAGAACAATATTGAGTGTAGCAAGAAGGCTCTGTTGTATTAGCTTTAGGTGTCTGTTTCGGCCTCGGTCCTGTATACCTGAAGGAGCGTCTCCACCCCCATCGTTCTACCCGGACACTGAGGTTCAGCACCAAGGGCCTTCTGGTGGTTCCCTCACTGCGAGAAGCCAAGTTACAGGGAACCAGGCAGAGGGCCTTCTCGGTAGTGGCGCCTTCCCTGTGGAACGCCCTCCCATCAGATGTCAAAGAGAACAACTACCAGACTTTTAGAAGACATCTGAAGGCAGCCCTTTTTAGGGAAGCTTTTAATGTTTGATGTACTACAGTATTTTAATATTTTTTTGGAAGCCGCCCAGAGTGGCTGGGGAAGCCCAGCCAGATGGCCGGGGTATAAATAATAAATTATTATTATTATTATTATTAGTAGTAGTAGTAGTAGTAGTCGTAGTAGTATTATACCCATCTCTGCTATTTCTCCTGTTTCTTCTCTGGTTAAAACATTTTCCCTTCAAATCCCCCCAAACAAGCCCTTAGTGGCTTCAGAAATGGGGTTGGGAAGGTGAAAAGTGAGCTTAGTAGTTGTGTGGGGTAGGAAGGGGGAGCTCTAGGGGGTTAATGTGAGCGAGTGCTCAGGGAGTTGGGAAGCAGAGTGAGCAGCCCCTAGATTTAAAATAAAAAGGATTCTGTGTTTTATTTTTAGAGGAAGGGTAGACACACAGTAATTCATATGAAGCACATCCATGACACACTGTCAACTAATTCCAGGTTCCTTTCCGCTTCTAAGCCACCTGCTACAAAATTCATTTCCAAAATAGCTTACACCAGTCTATAAAGGTACAAAAACTGACACTCGCGCAAATCATGCCAAACAAATTTAGGTTGTTCTTCCTTTGCTATTTCTGATACTTACATTTTATTCAAGTTCTAAAGCAGGTGTACAACCAGTGCTTAAAGCAAAAATACTGGATGGTTGTTCTAATCCTAACTCCCTCTAATAGCAAACTCAGCTGCTGCATGCCACCAGGGTTGTAGGTAAAATGAGGCCACTGAGAAACAAGAGGGAGATGGCAGCATATTTGGGGGAACCCCAAAGTTTGTACAATTTTTTTAAAGCAAAAACAAGGTGGCAACACCTCCTGCAATCCCACAAGGTCTCAGCATGCTAAGCAGAGATGGAATTTTATATGGCTGTTGGGAAAGAAAGAAAAATGGGCCATGGGGGAAGTGGGATGCTGTGGCTGGAACCCTGAACAGGAGCACCCATTTTGGAGGAGGGGGGGTATGTTGCAATAATATGTTGTAGGTCCCACTTGCTCCCTGTAATAGGGAATTCAGGTTGGTTGAGTGCCTATGTTTGGAAGCAGAGCAGGAGGTCACCCAAAAATAGTGAAGTGGCTTCTGCATCCTTGAGTCTAACCTCTTTATCACTGAGTCCAATCCTAGTGTAAACTCTCTCACTTGCTCAACTGTCTGCAACTGTAGCTGCCCAATTTCAAGTGTGGTAGATGCAAAACATGCACTGTACTATGGTCATGGTCAAACACAGTTGCCAGTCTTACGGATAAATGACAGGAGTAAATCTGCAATACAGAGCACTAAGAGGCTCAGAGATACGTTGGAAAGAGTGGTACATTTCCTTCAGTGGTAGCTGATGTGAAAAAACATTTTCAAGGGAGATTTAACTGGAGAATAAATGGCTACTGTCTTTCCAAGCTGGCCCCTCCAAGAGGAACTGCAGCTTGAATGTGACAAGAGTCTGGAATGTCCCTCTAATTTCTCCACATGTTAAAAAAGATTGTGGATTTAAATAGAGAAGTGCGAAGGCCTAGAAAAGCAACAGCAGAAATGACAGAACTTTGCTGAAGTGCCCTTTCTAAGAACAGTGTATTTCTGGGCTCCTGCACCTGCCGGTGAAGTACAACTCAGGCAGCACTGAGCTATATTGGTATATTTCATTCAGAGTTTCCTTGAAGAATTATTTTTAAACAGCTTCTCAAGTAAGGAGAAGGGTCTCGTTGCATAAGGCAGCCATAAAACAGGTAAAATCCAAATCTCTGTGAATGCAAAGATTAACGACATGTAGTTATTGTATATATTGTATGTAATACATAGCAGCTATTATTATTATTATTATTATTAGCCCCACCATCATTAT